GTCTTAACCCATGCGTGTGAATGGAGGACGAGTAAGGCGACATAGAGTAGTCCCTTCTCTCTGAATAGTCATAGTCTAGATCGTCGGTTTGACTATCAGGTGCTGGCATGTACTCATGCGTTCTCTCATGATCTTCATTGTCGACTCTGATGTCATGCATATCCACGTCTGACGGCTCTCTCCCGTTCATCTCCTCCGGCACCCCCTGACCCAATGATAAATCCCTCGACCACTCGTGACCGACATCCTGAAACCAGTTAGTAGACAACTTAATATCTAATCCTAATAGGCAGAACAGACCGGATTCCTAATTTGGCTTTTGCGACACATTTTGACTCGATAAAACGGTTGCCCCGTGAGCATGACCATGAACCATGCTCTGATACCACCATTTGTAACACCCCCAGTTCGGTCTATAGACATAGACTAAACCACAGATGTCACAACTGTCGAGACTCATCAAATAGGCCGTTCCAGAACAGAGAACGAATCAAAGTCTAGATCAGCCCGTCTGGTGAATCCGACCCTCTCGACCGTAGCATAAGGCTTTGCAACCCGTACCATGGTCTTGAGTTGTGTCGGCTTGGACTAGCCTATTATCATTGAGTAACCGGGTTTAAAAGAAAACATTCTTTTATATATATCAAACTTGTAATACAAATTCTTACAAAACATTTTATACTTTATGTTGCAGCTGCGGCCTAATGCCAAAAGATAATTATACATACATTACCCGAAAACCGAGTTTTGCAAAAAGCCAACCAAACTACTCCGGTCTTCGACTGTTCTGCCTCCTGTTCACAGGATTCTACTCCGAGCTACCTGTAAGACAAATAATCATCATGAGTAACCTAATGTTACTCAGTGAGTTCAGGACCCTCTATACAAAGGTTATTCCCCAAACCCAAACCCCAAAAGAAAAAGGCGGGATCTCATCCGCCACCTGCAACACAAAGCAATTATGCAATATTGCTGCTATAGCCTTAAGACTAACCGTACCCCAATCAAACAAGAACAGGTACGATCAATCCAAGACTATAACAACACTCAAACAAGCAATCAATCAATCAAGCAATGCACACAATCAATCTATATGCAAAGCAACCCTAATCAAGTAGCGGAATACTTGACTTCTACATGCAGTGAGGCCTCTAGGTGCATAAGCCACATTCTCAGCCCACGCCTGTGAAGGTTCACGCTCATCCGGAATCACACAGAAACTAGATGAACGCCTTCACCCGGGCACTACAGTCCATCGCGGTACCCGGTTCATCCTCCCATCTATTGGCCTTACTGGCGCACCATGCCAATGTCTGGTTGGATCCCATATCGTCATATGGTACCATACTCGGCCAAGGCAGCTGACCAGGTTATCCTCCGAGTCTTCCTCCCTTCATGCACAGCCTCCACGCTGCCAATCCGGTTGGGCTCTGACGTGCGAGAATGCGCTTGACTACACCTTCCTAAACAACATGTGGTTAGACACGCCACATGTTCTCAGTACTTAGCATATGGGCCTTTACGCACCACTATGCCTCATACCCTCGGTTCTGCGGCAGAGCTTCCCTTGCCTCGGAAGAGTACCCACACGAACCTCGAAAGATCTGGCGGCTCAGCCGTCCGTGATCTTTCCACATCGGAGTCATACTCAACATATGGGCCTTACGCACCACCATGTTAGCATGCACTCGAGGTTTAGCGGCATAGCCATGCTATAACCCCACAACCGATGCATCTCTATGCACCTGCATAAACAAGATCTGACGGCATAACCTTCCCCGAAGGTATCACCTTACCCCCGAAGGTTACCCATCACAATCTTACACACAAAAGAGATCTGCCAGCATAACCTTCCCCGAAGGTTACCTAACACAACCTCACAACACAAGAGATCTGACGGCATAACTTCTCTCTCTAGAAGATTACCCGTCACAACCTCACAGAGATTTCTGCAGCATAACTCTCCACAATTTTTACTAAACATTATTGTTTAGAGAGTTATACCACATACTTATGAAACGATAGAAGGAAATAAACTATAACCTAGCTACCGGAACTCACAACTTTTAGACGACCCGGCTGACCCCGACCCTAGCCTCCCCGCTCTAGCCCGATGCTGATCCGCCTCTGGATCTTCTTCTCTTCTCCTCTTTCTTCTTCTTTCTCTTCTCCTCCACGCCTTCTCACTTTCTCTTTCTAGTTTCTCTCTCTAGATTTCAGTTTGTGGTGTGGTTTGGAAATGAAGACCAAGGGGGCCTTTATATAGGTTTTTCGGAAGCTCGAGGTGGCGTCTGGTGGCTTCAGAACGCGACACCTTGCTTCCGCATGCAACCAATGGCATTGCTGCACGCCTGGAGCAGCTTCTTCCATCCCAATCCACTTGAGTCAAATGGCACCTTCCCATTGGTCCATTCCCCAAGCTGCTGGGTAGCTGAACGTGATTGGTTCGTTGAGGATGAGCATCTCCTCCTTGATCCTATCTTCCTGGATCAAGTGGCTCCTTCCCATTGGCTCATTGTTGATCAGATCAACAAGCTGCTGAGTGTCTAGACCTGATTCGTCCAACACATTCCTGTCTTCTCATGAGCAGCTGAGTGCTCACACCTGATTGGTGCAACACATTTTCGTCCCATATGAGCAGCTGAGTGCCCATACTTGATTGGTTAGCTTGAACTTATCCTTGATAAGCAGCTGGTGTCGCCATTCCATTGGCCTTGTGCTTCCTTCTACGTTTCCTCTTGCAGAAGGTTTCGTACGTTTCCCTGTACGGAGGGTTTCGTACGTTTCCTTGACTGGAGGGTTTCGTCCCGTCGTACTTGAGAATTAAAATCTCTCATTTTAATCCTTCCGTCATTTCCATGTTTCTGAACTTCCACATAGCTGCTTGGAAATGTGCGGGAAACCTCTATCCCGGGACATTTGCGTTTCTCGCGCTTGTCATGGGATGGATCCTCCGTGTAGTGGGATGGTCGTTTCTGGCCGTCCGTCCCGTCTATGTCTTGACCGTGCTTAGCTAGCATGAGGGATATTACAATGACTCTGCCGATGCTTTCTTCATGGATAGAAACCCTATCCATCCACCACTTCCTGCAAGGAATGACTATGAGATCAAGCCTCAGATCATTGCATTGGTTAGACAGAACCAATTCAATGGACTTCCAGCTGAGCACCCTCTTGATCACATAGAAAACTTTGAAGAAATTTGCAGCACTACAAGATCCAATGGAGTCTCTGCTGACTACCTTAAGTGCAAGCTCTTTTCATTCTCTCTTGGCGACAAAGCTTCAAGATGGTTGAAGTCTCTGCCAGCTCACTCCATACCACTTGGGATGAGTACAAGGCTGCATTCATCAACCACTTCTACACCAAACAGAGATCAATTTCTGTGAGGAACAAGATCTCCACTTTCGCCAAGCCAACAATGAGTCTTTCTATGAGGCGCTAGATCGATTCAAGGAGTACATTAGGGACTGCCCTAATCATGGTTTCAATGAGGGAAACCTATGGAACATCTTCTATCGTGGCATAGACCACAAGTACAAGCTTTCATTGGACACTGCAAGCAATGGAAACTTCATGACCAAGACTGTTGATGAAGCTAAGGTTCTTATTGAGAATCTTGCAGCTAGTGATTGTAACAACTGTCCTGATTATGACCGCTCAAGCCGCACCACTACTAGCTCCCCTGATTCTTTTCAAATGACTGAACTCAAGAACATGATGGCTCAAGTTCTTAAGGGACAGCTCAAGCATATCAATGCAATAGAAGGGATGAGTGATGCTAATGAAGATTCATCAAGAGAATGCATGGGAGATTTCTCTAATGAAGCCAATGAAGAAGATGTGAACTACATTGGAAACTATGGGAACAAGGGATACAATCCAAGCTATCGCCCAAACCCCAACATGTCTTATAGAAACCCCAATGTGGAGAATCCTCAAGACCAAGTGTATCCTCCAAGGTATCCACAACAACAAAGACCTCCTTACCAATCTCAAGGAAGTCAATTTCAGCCAAGGCAAGGATATGAGCAGAGATCATCATATCCGCCCAAGGAGCCATATGCTTCTTCACCAAATCAAGCTCCTCCAAACCAACAAGGTGGGAGATTTGAAGGAATCCTCCAACAGATCATGGATGGCCAGAAGAGAAACACTAAAGAGATGTATGAGAAGATGGACACTTTGTTCAGCAATCTCAACACCAAGTATGATGCTGTTGCCACTCATGTGAAGAAACTAGAGACTCAAGTCACTCAAACTATGGAAGCTGTTAAGAGACAGGAAGCTGAATCCAAGAAGTCCTTTTGCAACTCAGCCGCCATAGAAGAAAGATTTGAAGACCAAGTTCCAGAATGGATGCTTTCAAAACCTACTGTTGATTGCATGATTTGGCCTGAAGAGAATTACCCAGAGAGAGAGTCCAATCGAGCTAGAAAGAGAAGACTCTTCCCAAAGATTATCCCCAAGACAGATAACTCAGGAAAGTTTGCTGTGCCTTGTATCATCAAAGGTAACATTCTTGAGCAATCTTTGTGTGACACAGGAGCCAATGTGAACATCATGTCTAAGAGGATAGCTGACAAGATAGGCCTCACCAAGATAGAGCCATCATCCATCTCCATCAACTATGCTGATTCATTCTCACAAACCCCTATGGCTTTGTGCCTAATGTGATGGTGCAGATTGGAAATTGCTCTATCCCTACTGATTTCCAGATTGTGGAAATGAGAGAGAGTAGCCATAGACCTCTCATATTTGGAACCCCTTTCCTGTCTACTGTGGGTGCCATATTTGATTTCCCCAATCAAAGAATCTCTTTCAACAAGGTGAACAAGGGTATGTTCTTCCCTATGTGTTCAACAAAGAACTCTTTTGTTGACATGGTCCAAGAGGAGAAAGCTACTTTGAAGCCACCCCAAGAAGGAGAAACTGAAGAAACAATCAAGGAAGATCCCATTCCTAAGCCCAAGCAGCTTGCCAAACAAGCAAGGAGTAAGACTAAGGCCCCTACACCAAAACCGCCCAAGGGATCAACCAAGATTGAAGATGAGGCCAAGCCAAGAAAGGAAGGTTAGAAAGCCTAGGTCTGGCCGCAACATGAAGCTTCTATTCCCAAAGGAGCTTATTGATGAGAATCTAGAAGGATTCAAGGAGAAAGTGACAAGAACTCTAAAGCTTTTTCCTAAGGCAGTAGTGCCAAGGGACATTCATGGAGAGATTGTCTATCCAGCTGTGAATCACCCACCAGATACTCATTGCAAGGAGAAAAGACTTGGAGGATCAAGATGCCTCTTGTCTCCATCTTCTCCTGAGTGCCAAGCCTTACAGTCAAGCTAAAGACTTAAAACAAGCGCTGCATGGGAGGCAACCCATGAGGTACTTTTACTTTTCTTTCTTTAATTTCTTAGTTTTTGTTTTGCTTTTGTGTTTTCTTTGTTTTAAGATAGGATAGAAGGAGAAAAAGGTGTGAAAACACAATCCGCGCCAAAACATTGGCCGCGGACGCGCAAAGAAATTTTGGCCGAGCAATTCCAACCGGGCCGACCACGGTCGAGCCGGGAAGGAACGGCTATGCTCGGCCGGATTCACTCTATCGCGCGACAAAACGTTCGCGCGCACGCACGAACCGGGAAAGAAAGGCCGCGATCGGCCGATTTTCGTATCGGAACGGACCGACCGTGCCGGTCGATCCGGGAAACAACGATCGGCCTCGGCCGAAATCTCTCGCCAAACAATTTGGCCGACCAAATCGCTCGACCGCGACAAAATCCATCGGCCATCGGCCCAAAACTTTTCTCGGCCAAGGTAAGTCCCCTTTTCATTAATTCAAACCGGTTTTAACCAATCTAAACCAACTTAAACCGGTTTTCAATCAAAATTCGAATTTGAAAAGGAAAATTGATAGGATTTAGATCTTATTTACTTTCACCTTTCCCTTGAAAACACAAGAACCTCTCTTTCTTCTCCAAAACCCTAAACTCCATTAGAGGAACTCTAAGAGTTTTGATTTCAAAACTTTTACTGTTCATAACTCTAAATTGGAATTTACTTGCTCTTGCAACCTTATTCACTTTTCAACACACAAGGTATGTCTTCTAACTCTAATCCTATGTTTATGCAAGATCGAAATTCTCAATAAGTTTCTTGTTTGGTCTAAACTCTTGTTAAACTTGAAATTACCATCTTATGAGTCTTGTAATGAACTTAGCTAGGTGGAACCTAGGTGGTTTAGAGTTAATTTGAAGTTTAATTTCACAATTGAATAGTTTTTCACAAAACTTATTGGGCATTCCAAACCCCTTATTCAAAGGTGAAATTGCTTAGGCATACTTCAATTCATTAGTTTATCTAGTGATTACTTGGATTAGAAACTCAATTTCTCTTGATTTGCTGAAAATTTCGATTTTAAGCACCATAATCTTGGGATGAACAGTAAAATCCGAAAATTAACTTTGAAAAAGTGAAATTTCCATTTTGTCTCTTTGATTCATGATTAAGCCTTGAGTTGTTCCTTTATTCCATATCATTATTACAACTCAATTAGCTTATTCTTCTTTTGCATTAATCACAAACTCATATTTCTTCCCAAGAATTTGCTCTTGTAGGTACCCAATGGCAAAGACAAAAGGAAATGAGAGTATGAAGAAGAAGAAGAACCCATTCATGGACCACCAAAGAAGCAAATCAAGCTAGGGAGTAGTAGCTCCAATGCAAGAGCAGCAATACCAACTTCACCACATTCCATTGATGCAATCAAGAACATGTGGAGAGTCCAAGAGAGGAGAAGATGATTGGGCACTTGTAAGCTTTGTTGGAGAACAAATCCAAGACCCAAGAAAGTGCAAGAAGCAATGGAGAAGGTGAACATCGAACCTTGTGTGAAGATGGACACCCAAACCCTTGACCTTCTCAAGATAAGAGATGATGTCACATGGTACATAAGGAAGCTAGGCTTGAGCAAGCTCTTCAAGCTAGAATGTAGTGAGTACTCACAACTCACCAAGGAGTTCCTCTCCACAGTAGCTCTTGCCTTTCCCAACCACAATGGAGACCAACCAGCTGGTGATGGACTCCTACTCTTCAAGATAGGCGATGCCAATGGGCGCATCTCCATCTCAGCTCTATGCCAACTCTTTGGACTTCCCAATGAGACAGCACATGACTTCAAGGAGAACTCAAAGAGGAAACAAGCTGCCTTTGCTGATTGGACACACTTTGCCAATGAACCATTCTTGCCTTCAAGATCAAAGGTGTCTAGAATCACTCATCCAGCCATTCGCTATGTGCACCGCCTCATCTCCACCACTTTCCAATGCAAACAAGAAGCCAACAAGGTCACAACTGATGAGTTCTACATCCTCACCACACCATTCATCAAGCATGAGTACAAGGCCAACCTTGGACTTTTACTTGCCAAGACATTCATCAATGTGAGGAAGCTAGCTAAAGACTTGGAAGGCAACAAGAAGCTTTGTGTTCGTTTTGGGAGGCTTATCACGGCCATAGTACAACATGTGGGGATTGACATTCCCAACTATGAGCCACTACCCAAGCCAACCCCTTTGGATCTCCATGCTCTTCAGCATATCCACTTCCTAAACCGTTGGACTAAAGACCCAACTCGGTTTTGCTATGAGTTTCCAATTGGTCCAGCCAACACTTCCCTTGTCTTGCTGCCACATGAAGACATCCCAAGCCTACGCTCAGGAGTTGTCACTTTCCAGCCCAATGAGGAAGACTTCTATGTTCCATCAAGTGAGAAACCATCATTCCCCATGCTCACATATCGCACACTTCAGCATGCAGTCAAGACTCAACGCCGCCACCAAGAACGCCATGTTCTCACTACTGGCATGGCCGCGCATCAAGCTCTAGACCGTGTTAACAAGCTGGAGAAGATAGTGGAGTGCCAATCTCGCTTCATCTCACGCCTATCCGTGTAGTTCGCCACATTGCACCGGAGAGACTCTTTCGCCCTTCTTCCACCGCTAGAGAGCCATATGAGCCTGACCTTGGTGAGTTCTCACTAGACTCAGAGCTTGGTTCAGAAGGCGATGACCCCATAGATGAGGAAGAGAGTTCTTCTCACTGCCACACATAGTCATCTCAAGTGGTACTTAGTGCAATGGACACTTACAAATCTCCATTTTCTATCCCTACTCATTTTAATGAATTTTTCTTTATTTTTCTTTTACTTTGAATATTACCTCTCACCTTAAGTCTGAGTTTTATTGTGTTACTAATGCATTTTTCTTTCTTTTCTTATGTTTTATTCACTTTGTTTCATGTTTTTCAAAAAGTTTTATTGAGTCAAAAACCAGTCCGGAAGTTATGAACTTGCTTTGAGAATTGAGAGTGTTATGCTAACAATCCATGACCCTAGAGCAGAAACCAGCTAAAGGCACAAGCCTAACAGAAGCTCTTACAGTGGATCGACATGCTAGCTCAGCAAAATTTCTAAGGTAACCAAGCAATCTAGAGTTAACCTCACCTTAATCAATCTTAATTACTCTTGTCAAGGGGGTTGGCATACATGTTGATATACCTCTAATTTACCCACTTTTTATACTGTTTTAGCATTGTTTTCTAATGGTTTTTGGCAGGTTTTCTATCTAAAAAGGTAGTTTTACTGTGTTTATAGTGTCTAGAGTCTAAACAGGTGAAATGATGCATTTTGGAGCAAAACCATAGGATTTGCACTTCAAGCCGCTCCATGCACAAGCACCAACTTTAAGAGGGCCCAGAAAAAGATCTACTCAATGGATTTCATCAAGACCAGTTCCCTGCGTGCTCTGATTGAGTTAACTTTCCAACGCAACTGGAACGGCCTAATTTGGATGAGTAGAAACGGAGTTATAACCAAAAGAGTGGAGACTGTCCAGACGGCTTATCGAAGAATCAGCGCCCAACCGCGCAGTCCGGCTGGCCGAGAAACTATTGTTTCGCGCTCGGCCAAATTCATATCCGTCCGTCTGAAGTCTCGGCCAAAGTTCGAAACCGACCGGCCGATCACGCAACACGACCCGGGAAACATTGTCCCGCGGTCGGCCAAGCTCCAAATGCTCCACGCCGCCGCGCACGACCATGCCGCGCGAGCCGGGGAACAAGGCCTCGCGGCCGCGCAATCCGTTCCGCGTACCACGGCCGATGCATCCGTCCGAGCCGGGAAAGAACGTCCCACGTCGAGAAACCATCGGCCAAATCATCGTCCGGCCGAGAAACCATCGGCCAAAATCGTCGCCCCAACGCCGCGGTCGACCCGAAGCCCGTTTTGAAGCCCAATTTCATATTTTCAAGCCCGGCTTAACCCTAAGCCGCCTCTAAAGACCTAGCACTATATATATAGCTTTTTAGCCTCTTGTGAAAGAGAGAGCCGCCTTGTATTCAATTTCATACTTTGAGTTTTATTGCAATCATGTTTTCTTCATCTCTTTGTGTTTTGCTTTGATTATGTCTGAGTAATTCACTAGTTAGGTTGTGAGATCTATCAAAGAGTTCATGGTTTGATAGGTTGTTAGAAGTCACATAGGGTTTATCATATCGCATCTTCGCCTCTGCTTGAATTCATTGCTGCTTGCTTTTCTGATCAACTAGCATCAGATCTTAGGTTTCATATACTCTCCAAAAGCTTGCTATATAACCTGAACTAAGTATTTGGTGAGCAAAACTTCATAGACTGCGAAAGTTGATCTATGCGGGGTTGTGAACAATTGGGTCTTGAACGAACTATTGCTTGATTTAATCACCTAGGGACATACCAAAAGTTTAGCGACTAGGTAGATTAACAAAGGGGTCGGAGCCTCGACAGTGGAAAGATCATACAATCGTGACCTGAGTTCTAGATAGCGCAAACCCTAGCGAACCTTCTAATATCTTGTTAACCTTGAATCTCTGCGAGTTTCTCATTGCCTAGCGTTTCCCTTATTGATTTTCATAAACCGTTTAATTGCTGTTTGATTTACTTTGTTACACAATCAAAACCCTAAATCATACTTGTTTTCTAGCTATATTAGACTTGCAATTCGAAGTGTACTTATCTGCTCCTTGTGTTCGATACCCGTTTACTACTTTTGATCTGTGCACTTGCAGAATCAGGGATAGGAAAAGGGAAGACCTGATCCCGCGATCAAGTTTTTGGCGCCGTTGCCGGGGAGCAATACAGCTACCTTCGAGTTCCCAACTATAGTCTAGCCTAGAATTTCGTTTTTCCTTTTTGTTTTTGCAAACTTTTCAACTTTTGTTTTCTATTTAAAGAATCTTGCCTCTATCCTTTTCAGGTACTAAGCTTGAAAGAAGGACTCTAACATGAGTGATTCAGACGATCAAGAGGAGAGAGATAACTTGGCCGCGAGAGAGATCGCGTGGCCGAGCAACACGAAGATCCGCCGGATCTGAACGCCGCGCACGATCGCGCCAAATGATGGAGCGCGACACAATGAAGAAGTCATGGGAGACTTCGATTCCAATCCAACACTACTAATCGATCGGAATCCCATCCAGCCGCCACTTCCTGAAGGAAGAAGCTATGAGATTTCACCGGAGATCATTGGTTTGGTGAAACAAAACCAGTTCCAAGGAAAACCCCAGGAGAATCCTTTGGAACATATTGATGCTTTTGAAGAAATCTGTGGCACCATCAGTGCAGGAGGTGCGCCCAAAGAGTACTTAAAGTGCAAACTATTCTCTTTCACTTTGACAGGGAAGGCTTTGCGCTGGGTTAAGTCTCTTCCAGCTCAATCCATAACCACATGGAAAGAGTATAAGGTGGCATTCCTAGGTCANTGCCAATCTCGCTTCATCTCACGCCTAATCCGTGTAGTTCGCCACATTGCACCAGAGAGACTCTTTCGCCCTTCTTCCACCGCTAGAGAGCCATATGAGCCTGACCTTGGTGAATTCTCACTAGACTCAGAGCTTGGTTCAGAAGGCAATGACCCCATAGATGAGGAAGAGAGTTCTTCTCACTGCCACACATAGTCATCTCAAGTGGTACTTAGTGCAATGGACACTTACAAATCTCCATTTTCTATCCTTAACTCATTTTAATGAATTTCCCTTTATTTTTCTTTTACTTTGAATATTACCTCTCACCTTAATGAGTTTTATTGTGTTACTAATGCATTTTTCTTTCTTTTCTTATGTTTTATTTACTTTGTTTAATGATTTTCAAAAAGTTTTATTGAGTCAAGAGCCAGTCCAGGAACAATGAACTTGCTTTGAGACTTGATAGTGTTATGCTAACAATCTATGACCCTAGAGCAGAAACCAGCTAAAGGCCAAGCCTAACAGAAGCTCCTAGAGTGGATCAGCATACTAGCTTAGCGAAATTTCTAAGGTAACCAAGCAATCTAGAGTTAACCTCACCCTTAATAAATCTTAATAACTCTTGTCAAGGGGGTTGGCATACATGTTGATATACCTCTATTTTACCTACTTTTTATACTGTTTTAGCATTGTTTTCTAATGGTTTTTGGCAGGTTTTCTATCTAAAAAGGTAGTTTTACTGTGTTTATAGTGTCTAGAGTCTAAACAGGTGAAATGATGCATTTTGGAGCAAAACCATAGGATTTGCACTTCAAGCCGCTCCATGCACAAGCACCAACTTTAAGAGGGCCCAGAAAAAGATCTACTCAATGGATTTCATCAAGACCAGTTCCCTGCGTGCTCTGATTGAGTTAACTTTCCAACGCAACTGGAACGGCCTAATTTGGATGAGTAGAAAAGGAGTTATAACCAAAAGAGTGAAGACTGTCCAGACGGCTCTATCGAGAATCAGCGCCCAACCGCGCAGTCCGGCTGGCCGAGGAAACTATGTTTCCGCTCGGCCAAATTCATCCGTCCGTCTGAAGTCTCGGCCAAAGTCCAAACCGTTCGGCCGACCACGCAACACGACCCGGGAAACATTGTCCCGCGGTCGGCCAAGCTCCAAGCTCCACGCCGCACGCGCAAGACCATGCCGCGCGAGCCGGGGAACAAGGCCTCGCGGCCGCGCAACCGTTCCGCGCCACGACCGATGCATCCGTCCGAGCCGGGAAAGAACGTCCCACGTCTGGCCGAGAAACCATCGGCCAAATCATCGTCCGCCGACCAGCCGGCCGACCGTGAATCCATCCGGCCCCGACCGTTCCGATCGGCCACGACCCGACTGTCCGGCCGATCGTCCCGACGACCGTCCCAACGCCGCGGTCGACCCAAGCCCGTTTTGAAGCCCATTTCATATTTTCAAGCCCGGCTTAACCCTAAGCCGCCTCTAAAAGACCTAGCACTATATATATAGCTTTTTAGCCTCTTGTGAAAAGAGAGCCGCCTTGTATTACGATTTCATACTTTGAGTTTTATTGCAATCATGTTTTCTTCATCTCTTTGTGTTTTTGCTTTGATTATGTCTGAGTAATTCACTAGTTAGGTTGTGAGATCTATCAAAGAGTTCATGGTTTGATAGGTTGTTAGAAGTCACATAGGGTTTATCATATCGCATCTTCGCCTCTGCTTGAATTCATTGCTGCTTGCTTTTCTGATCAACTAGCATCAGATCTTAGGTTTCATATACTCTCCAAAAGCTTGCTATATAACCTGAACTAAGTATTTGGTGAGCAAAACTTCATAGACTGCGAAAGTTGATCTATGCGGGGTTGTGAACAATTGGGTCTTGAACGAACTATTGCTTGATTTAATCACCTAGGGACATACCAAAAGTTTAGCGACTAGGTAGATTAACAAAGGGGTCGGAGCCTCGACAGTGGAAAGATCATACAATCGTGACCTGAGTTCTAGATAGCGCAAACCCTAGCGAACCTTCTAATATCTTGTTAACCTTGAATCTCTGCGAGTTTCTCATTGCCTAGCGTTTCCCTTTATTGATTTTCATAAACCGTTTAGTTGTTTTGATTTACTTTGCTTACACAATCAAAACCCTAAATCATACTTGTTTTCTAGCTATATTAGACTTGCAATACTCGAAGTGTACTTATCTGCTCCTTGTGTTCGATACCCGTTTACTACTTTTGATCTGTGCACTTGCAGAATCAGGGATAGGAAAAGGGAAGACCTGATCCCGCGATCAAGTTTTTGGCGCCGTTGCCGGGGAGCAATACAGCTACCTTCGAGTTCCCAACTATAGTCTAGCCTAGAATTTCGTTTTTCCTTTTTGTTTTTGCAAACTTTCAACTTTTGTTTTTCCTTTTTACTGTTTTCTATTTAAAGAATCTTGCCTCTATCCTTTCAGGTACTAAGCTTGAAAGAAGGACTCTAACATGAGTGATTCAGACGACAAGAGGATAGAGAGAACTTGGCCGCGAGAGAGATCGCGCTGGCCGAGCAACGAAGATCCGCCGGATCCACGCCGCGCACAATCGCGCCAATGATGGAGCGCGACACAATGAAGAAGTCATGGGAGACTTCGATTCCAATCCAACACTACTAATCGATCGGAATCCCATCCAGCCGCCACTTCCTGAAGGAAGAAGCTATGAGATTTCACCGGAGATCATTGGTTTGGTGAAACAAAACCAGTTCCAAGGAAAACCCAGGAGAATCCTTTGGAACATATTGATGCTTTTGAAGAAATCTGTGGCACCATCAGTGCAGGAGGTGCACCCAAGAGTACTTAAAGTGCAAACTATTCTCTTTCACTTTGACAGGGAAGGCTTTGCGCTGGGTTAAGTCTCTTCCAGCTCAATCCATAACCACATGGAAAGAGTATAAGGTGGCATTCCTAGGTCACTTTTTCACAAAGCAGAGAGCAAACTTGTTGAGAGAAAAGATCTCTAGTTTCCAACAAGGGCCGGTGGAGCCTTTTCATGAAGCATTGGAGCGCTTCAAGGACTATACAAGAGAGTGTCCTAACCATGGGCTATCTGAGGGCAGTCTATGGAACATTTTCTACAGAGGAATAAGTGGGAAGTGTAGATTTTCTCTTGATACAGCCAGCAATGGAAATTTCATGACCAAGACAGTTACTGAAGCAAAGATTTTGATTGAAAATCTAGCCTCAAGCGACAGTGACAACTTCATTGGCATGAGAGAGCAGTGAAGGCCATAAATTCTGATCCATACAGAGATGGATACAGCGAAATCAAAGCCATGATGGCTGAGATACTGAGAAACCAAGGAAGAGAAGTGGAGAGACAAAGAGAAGCTTATAGAGTTGAATCCACAATAATTCAAGATTACTTTGGAGATTTGATTCCAAGTTTCCAAGAAGAAGTAAACTTTGTTGGAATAGATGGATCAGCACATAGAGAAGAAGCTTGGAAAGGGAGAGCATGATGTTTTTACTCAAGAATCACCCAATGAGAAGAGGGATGTTCATAGAGGAAGAAATTATCAGCAACCACCTCACAAGAGAAGAATGGAGCCAAGGAGCAATTTTGAAGATTTGATAACTTTCATCAAGAGTTCTCATAGAGAGCATACAGCCTTGATTGATGAGAGATTGGAGTCAGCCTTCACAGATTGAATGAGAAGTTGGATTCTATTTCTTCTTTCACAAGAGACTTGGATCTTAGAGTTGCCAACATAGCCAGCTCTATTAAGAGAGAAGAAGGTGTGCTACCAGGAAAAGTGGAAATCAATCCAAGGAGAGCAGCTGTAGCAGCTATCACTCTTAGGAATGGAAAAGGGTATGAACCACCAGCATACCCAGATCAAGAGGAAGCAAAGCCGCCAATCAAGAAGAAACCAATGGAGTATGTTATCATTGGAGATGGGACTGAACCACCTAAGGAAGTCCATGTCAGAATAGAACCAGGAACTCAGGAGGAAGTGGAGAAGCCACCTGAAGAACCAAGAGTGTATGAGCCAAAGATCCCATACAGAAATGTTCTTTCTCAACCCAAGAAGGAGAAGGAGCAAGCAAAGCTCAAGGATCTTGTTAGCCAACTTTCAGTAAGGTTACCTTTCATTGATGTACTAATGGAAGTAAGAAGAGCAATGATGATTACAAAGGAGTGTAGTGCCATACTTCAGAATCGCATGCCAGAGAAGCTGAACGACCCAGGAGTTTTGTTTTGTCTTGCAAGATCGGTTCTACACACTTCCATAGAGCACTTTGTGATTTGGGTTCTAGTGTGAACCTAATGCCTTACTCAGTGGCCAAGCTATTGGGCATCACTGACTTCAAACCTACAAAGATCTCTCTAGTCTTTGCAGACAGATCTGTTCGCCGCCCTGTTGGTGTTATTATGGATGTTCCAATCATGGTTGGAGATTGCTACATCCCTGCTGATTTTGTAGTTCTTGAGCTGGAACACCAACCTAAAGACCCTCTTATCTTGGGAAGGCCATTCCTAGCTACTGCAGGAGCTATAATAGATGTCAAGAATGGAAAGATTGACTTGCATCTTGGAGATATAGTGATGAATTTCGAAGTAAACAAGTCTATGGAGAAGCCAACTGTAGATGGTCAAGCTTTTTGGATTGGAGAGCTCGCAGAGACAAGAGAAGAAGTGCTGGATGAACTCCTTCTTATTGATCCCTTGGAGCTAGCTTTGACAAAGGCTGAGAATGAGTATGGATACATGGAAAGAGAAGCTCAATGCTTAGTCAAGTTCATGGATTCAAGGAAGCTTATAAAGAGCTGATAGCTTATATGGACTTAGAGAGAGAAGAGGAAGAGCCAGACATTGACAAGAGTCAGGAAATATCACAAACCAAAGTTAAGTTCGACCCATGGTGCCCACTTAGAGCTCCAAAAGCCGAGCTCAAACAACTCCCAGTTGGTCTAAGGTATGAATATCTTGGTCCTAATGAAACATATCCTGTTATTGTTAATGCTGCACTAACAAAAGAAGAGACCGCTTTACTTGTTCGCGAACTGAGAAAGCATAGAAAGGCTCTTGGTTATTCTTTGGATGATTTAACAGGAATCTCACCTGAACTATGCACACATCGCATCATCCTGGAGGATGAGTCTAGTTCTTCAATTGAACACCAAAGGAGGCTAAACCCAACCTAAAGGAAGTTGTCAAGAAGGAGATAATGAAGCTGCTAAAGGCTGGAGTGATTTATCCAATATCAGATAGTGCATGGGTCAGCCCTGTACATGTCGTGCCAAAGAAAGGAGGGATCACAGTCATCAAGAATGAACATGATGAGCTCATTCCAACAAGGACAATCACTGGACACAGAATGTGTGTCGACTACAGGAAGCTGAACTCCTCCACGCGCAAGGACCTACCCCTTTATGGAGGTTCACATTTCATAAACAGAATATTTGCCAACCTTTTGAAGAAGCATGGAGTTACTCACAAAGTTGCCTCTCCTTACCACCCCCAAACTAGTGGACAAGTTGAGATCTCAAACAGAGAGCTCAAGAGCATACTTCAGAAGACAACAGGCAAAACAAGAAAGGATTGGAGTGCCAAACTTGATGATGCTCTATGGGCATATCGCACTGCTTTCAAAACACCACTTGGTACCACCCCCTTTCATCTTGTTTATGGTAAAGCATGTCATTTACCAGTGGAGCTTGAGTACAAAGCAGCTTGGGCTATTAAGGAGTTGAACTTCAACCTAAAGACAGCAGGAGAAAGGAGATTGATTCAGCTGAATGAGCTTGATGAGATTAGGCATCTGGCTTATGAGAATTCAAAGATCTATAAGGAGAGAACCAAAGCTTTCCATGACCGCAAGATCATCCCAAAGAACTTTGCACCAAACGACCAAGTTCTACTATTCAACTCAAGGTTGAAACTCTTTCCAGGAAAGCTTCGCTCAAGATGGTCAGGACCATTCAGGATTAAAGAAGTTCGCCCCAATGGAGCAGTGGTATTATGGGATCCGATGGGAGGAGACTTTACAGTCAATGGACAAAGGTTAAAACCTTACCTAGCCTCCACCACCATACCACAGAGACCACACTAGCTCTTGGCGATCCACCAGATCCTTAAGGAAGTGCCATACAGTCAAGCTAAAGACTTTAAACAAAGCGCTGAATGGGAGGCAACCCATTGAAGGTCATTTCTTTCTTTAATTTTCTTTTGTTTTGAATATTACCTCTCACCTTAATGTGATTTGCTTTCACCGGGACGGTGCAAGTTAAGTCTGGGGGAGTTTTATTGTGTTACTAATGCATTTTTCTTTCTTTTCTTATGTTTTAGTCATTTTGAGTTTTTCAAAAAGTTTTATTGAGTCAAAAACCAGTCCGGAAGTTATGAACTTGCTTTGAGAATTGAGAGTGTTATGCTAACAATCCATGACCCTAGAGCAGTGATGTGCGGGATCAGGTCTTCCCCTTTCCTATCCCTGATTCTGCAAGTGCACAGGTCAGAAGTAGTAAACGGGTATCGAACACAAGGACCAGATTGCACACTACAAGTTATGAGTTTGAGAACAAGCTAGGGCAAAAGTATAAGTTGGTTGAGTGCAGAGAAAGTAAAGCATGCAAGTAATAAAGAGAGAATTCAATAGGAGAGAAAGGCTAAGCAATAGGATAGTCTTGAGATAAGCAATTCAAGAAGCATGAAATCAATCAATTAGGGTTACCGCACTTAGGTGCTAATCTAGAACTTGAAACACTATGGTATGATCATTCCACTGTCGAGGCTCCGACCCCTTTGTTAATCTACCTAGTCGCTAAACTTTTGGTATGTCCCTAGGTGATTAAATCAAGCATTAGTTCGATCAAGATCAATTGTTCACAACCTACAAGTAGATCAACTGTCGCAGTCTAAAAGAGATTGCCCACCAAATACTAGTTCAGGCGAATGATACAGCACTGTCGAGGCTCAAATCAACCTAAAGGCATATGCTAATTGGCCAGATTAACAACAAGCATTAAGTATAAGCAAAGATGGAGATTATAAGTAAAACCCTAATTGTGATCAATCATCAAGCATACATGAATGCTATCCTTTGACTTCCTATCACTTAACAAGTAAACTACTCAGACATAGAGAAGGAACACGAATTCATATTCATAAGAACAGAGATTCGAATCCTCTCTAGAAAGAGTAACAAGCAAGAACAAAGTAAAAGCAAGCAAAACTTTATTAAGATGTAAAATAGATTGTGGTCTCTCTCCTTCTTGAGTTACAAGGCTAAAAAGAAGTATTTAATAATGTAAGTAGGCGGCTAAACCTAATCTAGCTAGGTCGGCGCCGGCTTTGGGCTTGAATTGTGCGGATTGGGCTTCAAAAACGGCTTCGGGTCGACCGCGGCGTTCGGACGGTCGTCGGGACGGTCGGCCGGACAGTCGGGTCTTTGGCCGAGTCGGAACGGTCGGGCCGGATGATTTCACGGTCGGCCGGCTGGTCGGCGGATGAATTTGGCCGATGGTTTCTCGGCCGGACGTGGGACGTTCTTCCCGGCTCGGACGGATGCATCGGCCGTGGTACGCGAAGTGGTTGCGCGGCCGCGAGGCTTGTTTCCCCGGCTCGCGCGCTTGGTCGTGCGCGGCGTGGCGTGAGCGTTGGAACTTGGCCGACCGCGGGACAATGTTTCCCGGGTCGTGCTGTGTGATCGGCCGAGCGGTTTGGACTTTGGCCGAGACTTCAGTCGGACGGAATACGGTTTTGGCCGAGCGCGGAACATTCGTTCCTCGGCCAGCCGGTCTGCGCGTTCGGCGCTGATTCTCGATATGGCCGTCTGGAGCAGCCTTCACTCTTTTGGCTATAACTCCTTTTCTACTCATCCAAATAGGCCGTTCCACTTGCGTTGGAAAGTTAACTCAATCAGAGCACGCAGGGAACTGGTCTTGATGAAATCCATTGAGTAGATCTTTTTCTAGCTCCATCCAAAGTTGATGCAGGGGCATTGAACTGGTTTAGAGTCCAAATCTCCTGTTTTGCTCCATAATGCACCTTTTTACCTAAAATGACTCTTTGCACTATAAATCCATAAAAACTACCTTTTAACACAAGAATCCACTAGAAAACCATTAGAAAACCATAGTAAAATAGCATAAAAAGTAGGTAAAATAGAGGTATATCAACTCCCCCAGACTTAGATCTTTGCTTGTCCCCAAGCAAAAAGAATCTAAACTAGTGAAGAGGTTTTGAAAAACGTGGGAACTCTCTTGCTTCTTTGAAAATCCTGTGAAAGGTTCCTTTCCTGTATTCCACTAAGAACATAGTCAACATAAGGTTAGCTTCACATACACCCTGCAAGTTTAGCAACAATACCAACCCAACTAGTCTCATCCAGCAATCCAAACTCTCTATTGTAACCTCTTGCAGAAATTTAAAGCGTGAGTTCTTTATCAAGGGAAATCGATCAATTGAACTTGTTCTTACCCACTTGATCTTCTCCAAGATTGTCTTTGAAGTGCAATGAGTTCCTTTCCTCTCTCTTTCTCACATCAGAACTTTGAAAGGTCAATTTCTCCCTACTTTTCTAGGGTATCATTTTATTTTTTCTATTGACCTTTCTTTCAACCACAGGATAAGTCTTTAGCTTGTTCCTTGTTTGATAAGGTATTCCATAAGACATGAAGGTACAGACATATGCATTCCTCATGCTTACTTGTTTTCCTTGTGCTCTTTGAGCTTTTCTCATAAACATTACTTACCATTTGGGATGGGAGAGAGAGGTGAACTCTTTAGACAAATCTCATTGAAAATCAAGCAAGGAACTGTCGACATGTATGCCAATCCCCTTGACAAGAGTTATTAAGATTGATTAAGGGTGAGGTTAACTCTAGATTGCTTGGTTACCTTAGAAATTTCGCTGAGCTAGCATGCGATCCACTCTAGGAGCTTCTGTTAGGCTTGTGCCTTCAGCTGATGTTTGCTCTAGGGTCATAGATTGTTAGCATAACACTATCAAATCTCAAAGCAAGTTCATTGTTCCCGGACTGGTTTTGACTCAATAAAACAGAAGTTTTGAAAAAGTGGGTTAGGAAAAACCAATTATAAGATCAAAACAACCATGAACAAACACATTAGTACCGACAATCCCCCCAGACTTAACTTGCACCGTCCCGGTGAAAGAAAATCCAATTAAGGGAGTTAAAGAAAGAGGTAATAAAGTGGTTGTGAATGTAAAAAGAAAGATGTAACCTGATTTGGTGTTACTTGAAGAATGGTGAATGCAGTGGAATGATGGTAGTGATGGAATGCAAGTGTGGTGAGGTGGGATGGGTGAGATGCAGATGGAATGAGATGGGATGGTGTGTTGGGCGGCTTGAGAGGACATGGGCGAGCGTGGAGAGGTTCTGCTCGGCCATCTAAGTCGCGCCAACTATGAACATTCTTCTTGTGGTATATCTTCTTTACCATTGTGTGGTTCTTAGATTCCTGTTTCCAAACTCAAAACAAAACTAGACATTAACTAAAACTAATTGAAAAGAAAAGTAAAGAAAAACACCTTTCATGGGTTGCCTCCCATGCAGCGCTTCTTTTGAGTCATTAGCTTGACTGATAGGATCTCTTAGTTGGAGATGGGGTAAGGGCACGGCCTGAGACATAGTCTTTTAGTTCTTGTCTCATTGTGACCTTGAGTGTGGTCTGGTGGCTCTCTTGGGCGGCCTTGGGCAGTGATGAGGTAAGACAGCTTGTTTGGTGAGATGAATGGTATGGTCTTGTAAAAGACTGTCTTGTCACATTGGCTAAGGACATTCGCCGGTTTGGAAGGTCCATGACAGCTCCAGCAGTGGCCAAAAAGGGTCGGCCTAGTATCAATGGTGTGTCACATCCTCCTTGAATGTTTATGACATGAAAGTCCACCGGGATCTTGATATCTCCAATCTCTAGAAGAACATCAACAACAACTCCTCTTGGCTTGGCTATAGTATGGTTAGCAAGTCCAATACTAATTTGAGCAGGTTGCAAGCGTGTGATGCCAAGGAGTTTGGCGGTTTGGGTTGGCATGAGGTTTATGCAAGAGCCAGAATCGCATAGTGTTCTATCAAAGTAATGACCATTTACTTGACAGGGAATAGAGAATTGACCTGGGTCTTCAATCTTGTAGAGGGTCTTGAAGGTTGGCTGAACTTTAGCTTTCTCAAAAAGCTCTTTATGTCCTCAGGTGTCTCCTTGCAGTTGTGGAAGAAAGGTGGTGAATGGGTAGTGGCGCCAAGCTTTTTGGAAAGACATGCTGGCTGGAAGAGTTTGGACAAACTGATTGAACTCAGCAAGCTTCTCTCTTGATATGGAATTGACATACCACTTGGGTGGTGGTGATGATGGTGGTGATGGTGGTTGATTGACTCCATGAGGGGCAAGGGGAAATCGTGCCTTCCTGAAAGTTGGTGTATCTCTTCTTTGTTTTCACTAGTTGTGAAAAAGAACTCCACTAGACCATGTTTATCCCAAGCTTCTTCAAAAGTGACATAGAATGGAAGTGATTTCACCTTAGCATTGAACTCTTTAAGCTTCATGGGGCTTATCTTGTTGGGATCAATGGGATCATACTGCCAAGTATCTTCTTCTTCAGTAGGTGGTGATGGTCTTTGCATTGCTTCCAATCTTGGAAGTGTAGAAGCTTGACTTCTTGGTGAGAAACGAGGGTCTCTAGGGCTTGGTGTATCCATGCTCTGTTTTGGGGAAGCATTGATGTCGATGCTCTGCTCTTCATCTTCATCATTCAATTGTTCCTCATACTCTCTTTCTTCTTCTTCATTGTCCTCATGGACTTGAGTAGTGCTTCTTCTTGTGATGGCATTGCAATAAAAGGGAGGGTGGTTGGGTGTTGGACTCCTCTCTCTCTTGTAATTGGCATGAGATGATCCTTCAAGGGCTTGTAGGCGGTTGTAGATTGATCCAAGATGTTTGCTATTGCCATAGCTAGTATCTTCAATTCTCATGCTCTTGTTCAGCAACTCTTGATATTTGGAAGCAACATCAAGCTTAACTAGGGTCAAAGATCGATCATGATCCTCTCTTAACTTCTTAATGTCTTCATCAAGCTTGATCACTTGCTTGAATAGGACTTCAGATTTGTTTCCAAGGCTCTCATGGATGAAATCGATTCTTCTCTCCATCTTCTTTGTACTCTCTTCTTGATTTCTCAAGTACTCTTGAAGCATATCTTCAATCTTGGTTTGGCGCGCAGCTTGATAGCTCTCCCTTGGGAAAAGTGGTGTCTTGTTTATGTCTGGTGATGATGGATGGTATGTGAATAGCTTGGGCGTGGTGGTGGGACATAAATAGGACCTTTGGCAAATCTGTGAGGAAAGCTCCTTTGTATCCATTCCAAGTCTTGAAAGCATGTTGGGCATTGAACTTAGCCCAGTCTTTGGCTTGTCCAGCTAGTGATAGTTGGAAAAGTTGTATCTTCTTGGGGTTGTCTCCAAGTCCATAGTCATGCAAAGCTGCTCAAAGTTGCATAGATGCTCCTTTGCACATTCTGAATAGAATTGTAGAAAGGATTCCTCTCCACATGCTTGATTAGCTCTTCATTCAAACTTCAGGATGAGGTGGTATGCCTCCCCATTCTTCTTCATCACGCTCTCTCTCCAGCTGATGAGAGTAGTGGTGGTACTTGGATTTGAAAGGTGGCTCCTTGCAAATCTTTCCAAGAAAGCTTCTCTAAAATCGATCCATGACTCGATTGTAGAGGTGGTTCATGCTGCGCCCAATCTAGTGCTGGTCCAGCTAGTGATGTGCTGAATAGCATCATCTTCTTCTCAAAGTCAAAAACTCCATAGGAATCACAAAGATTGTCAAAGTGATCTATGTGCTCCAGCGCATACTCTGAAAACAGATCATGGAATTGATCTCTCTTCACGAACTCGATCAGCTCAGGGTTAATCTCCTCTTCTGGTGTGGCTAGAAGGTCTCTTCTTGGTGTGATGCGGCTTGGCTAGACGTCTCCAGGTCGGCTGCTTCAAGGTAAGGAAGAAGTTTCTTCTTTGTCTTCAAAGTGGATGGTCTTGGAGGACTATCCCATGAAGGTGGTGGTGCTTGAGGGCTTAACATCTCTTGTTCGCTCAAGAGGTGCTTTGAGGTGGTATGTGGCGAATTGGCATCGCCTTTATAGGAAGAGGCTTGTGGCTCCTTCTCCATATCTAACTAGGAAAACCTGAAAAGCTAAAAACAAAAAGGAAAAACCAAAAAGGAAAAACAAAATCAAAGAAAAAAGGAAATAACAAAAACAAAAAGGAAAAGATGAAACCCTAGACTAGCTCTCTTGCAAGAGCTTGTAGGTGCGAATTGGTCCCCGGCAACGGCGCCAAAAACTTGATCGCGGGATCAGGTCTTCCCCTTTCCTATCCCTGATTCTGCAAGTGCACAGGTCAGAAGTAGTAAACGGGTATCGAACACAAGGACCAGATTGCACACTACAAGTTATGAGTTTGAGAACAAGCTAGGGCAAAAGTATAAGTTGGTTGAGTGCAGAGAAAGTAAAGCATGCAAGTAATAAAGAGAGAATTCAATAGGAGAGAAAGGCTAAGCAATAGGATAGTCTTGAGATAAGCAATTCAAGAAGCATGAAATCAATCAATTAGGGTTACCGCACTTAGGTGCTAATCTAGAACTTGAAACACTATGGTATGATCATTCCACTGTCGAGGCTCCGACCCCTTTGTTAATCTACCTAGTCGCTAAACTTTTGGTATGTCCCTAGGTGATTAAATCAAGCATTAGTTCGATCAAGATCAATTGTTCACAACCTACAAGTAGATCAACTGTCGCAGTCTAAAAGAGATTGCCCACCAAATACTAGTTCAGGCGAATGATACAGCACTGTCGAGGCTCAAATCAACCTAAAGGCATATGCTAATTGGCCAGATTAACAACAAGCATTAAGTATAAGCAAAGATGGAGATTATAAGTAAAACCCTAATTGTGATCAATCATCAAGCATACATGAATGCTATCCTTTGACTTCCTATCACTTAACAAGTAAACTACTCAGACATAGAGAAGGAAATCGAATTCATATTCATAAGAACAGAGATTCGAATCCTCTCTAGAAAGAGTAACAAGCAAGAACAAAGTAAAAGCAAGCAAAACTTTATTAAGATGTAAAATAGATTGTGGTCTCTCTCCTTCTTGAGTTACAAGGCTAAAAAGAAGTATTTATAATGCTCTAAGTATGAAGCGGCTAAACCTAATCTAGCTAGGTCGGCGCCGGCTTTGGGCTTGAATTGTGCGGATTGGGCTTCAAAAACGGCTTCGGGTCGACCGCGGCGTTCGGACGGTCGTCGGGACGGTCGGCCGGACAGTCGGGTCTTTGGCCGAGTCGGAACGGTCGGGCCGGATGATTTCACGGTCGGCCGGCTGGTCGGCGGATGATTTGGCCGATGGTTTCTCGGCCGGACGTGGGACGTTCTTCCCGGCTCGGACGGATGCATCGGCCGTGGTACGCGAAGGAGTTGCGCGGCCGCGAGGCTTGTTCCCGGCTCGCGCGCTTGGTCGTGCGCGGGTGGCGTGGCGTTGGCTTGGCCGACCGCGGGACAATGTTTCCCGGGTCGTGCTGTGTGATCGGCCGAGTGGTTTGGACTTTGGCCGAGACTTCAGTCGGACGAATACGGTTTTGGCCGAGCGCGGAACATTCGTTCCTCGGCCAGCCGGTCTGCGCGTTCGGCGCTGATTCTCGATATGGCCGTCTGGAGCAGCCTTCACTCTTTTGGCTATAACTCCTTTTCTACTCATCCAAATAGGCCGTTCCACTTGCGTTGGAAAGTTAACTCAATCAGAGCACGCAGGGAACTGGTCTTGATGAAATCCATTGAGTAGATCTTTTTCTAGCTCCATCCAAAGTTGATGCAGGGGCATTGAACTGGTTTAGAGTCCAAATCTCCTGTTTTGCTCCATAATGCACCTTTTTACCTAAAATGACTCTTTGCACTATAAATCCATAAAAACTACCTTTTAACACAAGAATCCACTAGAAAACCATTAGAAAACCATAGTAAAATAGCATAAAAAGTAGGTAAAATAGAGGTATATCAAGCAGAAACCAGCTAAAGGCACAAGCCTAACAGAAGCTCTTACAGTGGATCGACATGCTAGCTCAGCAAAATTTCTAAGGTAACCAAGCAATCTAGAGTTAACCTCACCCTTAATCAATCTTAATACTCTTGTCAAGGGGGTTGGCATACATGTCGACAGTTCCTTGCTTGATTTTCAATAAGATTTGTCTAATCTTTAAAGAGTTCTCCTCTCTCTCCCATCCCAAATGGTAAGTAATGTTATGAGAAAAAGCTCAAAGAGCACAAGGAAAACAAGTAAGCATGAGGAATGCATATGTCTGTACCTTCATGTCTTATGGAATACCTTAGTCAAACAAGGAACAAGCTAAAGACTTATCCTGTGGTTGAAAGAAGGGTCAATAGAAAAAATAAAATGATACCCTAGAAAAGTAGGGAGAAATTGACCTTTCAAAGTTCTGATGTGAGAAAGAGAGAGGAAAAGAACTCATTGCACTTAAAGAGGCAATCTTGGAGAGGATCAAGTGGGTAAGAACAAGTTCAATTGATCGATGTCCCCTTGATAAAGAATTCACGCTTTAAATTTATGCAAGAGGTTAGCAATAGAGAGTTTGGATTGCTGGATGAGACTAGTTGGGTTGGTATTGTTCGCTAAACTTGCAGGGTGTATGTGAAGCTAACCTTATGTTGTCTATGTTCATAGTGGAATACAGGAAAGGAACCTTTCACAGGATATTCAAAAGAGCAAGGGAGTTCCACGTTTTCAAACCTCTTTCACGGATTTAGATTCTTTTTGCTTGAGGACAAGCAAAGATCTAAGTCTGGGGGAGTTGATATACCTCTAATTTACCCACTTTTTATACTGTTTTAGCATTGTTTTCTAATGGTTTTTGGCAGGTTTTCTATCTAAAAAGGTAGTTTTACTGTGTTTATAGTGTCTAGAGTCTAAACAGGTGAAATGATGCATTTTGGAGCAAAACCATAGGATTTGCACTTCAAGCCGCTCCATGCACAAGCACCAACTTTAAGAGGGCCCAGAAAAAGATCTACTCAATGGATTTCATCAAGACCAGTTCCCTGCGTGCTCTGATTGAGTTAACTTTCCAACGCAACTGGAACGGCCTAATTTGGATGAGTAGAAAAGGAGTTATAACCAAAAGAGTGAAGACTGTCCAGACGGCTCTATCGAGAATCAGCGCCCAACCGCGCAGTCCGGCTGGCCGAGGAACATGTTCCGCGCTCGGCCAAAGTCATATCCGTCCGTCTGAAGTCTCGGCCAAAGTTGAAACCGACCGGCCGATCACGCAACACGACCCGGGAAACATTGTCCCGCGGTCGGCCAAGCTCAAAGCTCCACGCCGCCGCGCACGACCATGCCGCGCGAGCCGGGGAACAAGCCTCGCGGCCGCGCAACCCGTTCGCGTACCACGGCCGATGCATCCGTCCGAGCCGGGAAAGAACGTCCCACGTCCGGCCGAGAAACCATCGGCCAAATCTTCGTCCGCCGACCAGCCGGCCGACCGTGAATCCATCCGGCCCCGACCGTTCCGACTCGGCCACGACCCGACTGTCCGGCCGATCGTCCCGCACGACCGTCCCAACGCCGCGGTCGACCCGAAGCCCTTTTTGAAGCCCAATTTCATATTTTCAAGCCCGGCTTAACCCTAAGCCGCCTCTAGAAGACCTAGCACTATATATATAGATTTTTAGCCTCTTGTGAAAAGAGAGCCGCCTTGTATTTCGATTTCATACTTTGAGTTTTATTGCAATCATGTTTTCTTCATCTCTTATGTGTTTTGCTTTGATTATGTCTGAGTAATCCACTAGTTAGGTTGTGAGATCTATCAAAGAGTTCATGGTTTGATAGGTTGTTAGAAGTCACATAGGGTTTATCATATCGCATCTTCGCCTCTGCTTGAATTCATTGCTGCTTGCTTTTCTGATCAACTAGCATCAGATCTTAGGTTTCATATACTCTCCAAAAGCTTGCTATATAACCTGAACTAAGTATTTGGTGAGCAAAACTTCATAGACTGCGAAAGTTGATCTATGCGGGGTTGTGAACAATTGGGTCTTGAACGAACAATTGCTTGATTTAATCACCTAGGGACATACCAAAAGTTTAGCGACTAGGTAGATTAACAAAGGGGTCGGAGCCTCGACAGTGGAAAGATCATACAATCGTGACCTGAGTTCTAGATAGCGCAAACCCTAGCCAATCCTTCTAATATCTGTTCACCTTGATTCTCTGCGAGTTTCTCACTGCCTAGCGTTTCCCTTTATTGATTTTCATAAACCATTTTAGTTGTTACTTGATTTCGTTGCTACACAATCAAAACCCTAAATCATACTTGTTTTCTAGCTACATTAGACTTGCATAATTCGAAGTGTACTTATCTGCTCCTTGTGTTCGATACCCGTTTACTACTTTTGATCTGTGCACTTGCAGAATCAGGGATAGGAAAAGGGAAAGACCTGATCCTGCGATCACATGTCGACAGTTCCTTACTTGATTTTCAATAAGATTTGTCCAATCTTTAAAGAGTTCACCTCTCTCTCCCATCCCAAAATGGTAAGTAATGTTTATGGTAAAAAGCTCAAAGAGCACAAGGAAAACAAGTAAGCATGAGGAATGCATATGTCTGTACCTTCATGTCTTATGGAATACCTTAATCAAACAAGGAACAAGCTAAAGACTTATCCTGTGGTTGAAAGAAGGGTCAATAGAAAAAATAAAATGATACCCTAGAAAAGTAGGGAGAAATTGACCTTTCAAAGTTCTGATGTGAGAAAGAGAGAGGAAAAGAACTCATTGCACTTAAAGAGGCAAGCTTGGAGAGGATCAAGTGGGTAAGAACAAGTTCAATTGATCGATGTCCCCTTGATAAGAATTCACGCTTTAAATTTATGCAAGAGGTTAGCAATAGAGAGTTTGGATTGCTGGATGAGACTAGTTGGGTTGGTATTGTTCGCTAAACTTGCAGGGTGTATGTGAAGCTAACCTTATGTTGTCTATGTTCATAGTGGAATACAGGAAAGGAACCTTTCACAGGATATTCAAAAGAGCAAGGGAGTTTCCACGTTTTCAAACCTCTTTCACGATCTAGATTATTTTTGCTTGAGGACAAGCAAAGATCTAAGTCTGGGGGAGTTGATATACCTCTAATTTACCCACTTTTTATACTGTTTTAGCATTGTTTTCTAATGGTTTTTGGCAGGTTTTCTATCTAAAAAGGTAGTTTTACTGTGTTTATAGTGTCTAGAGTCTAAACAGGTGAAATGATGCATTTTGGAGCAAAACCATAGGATTTGCACTTCAAGCCGCTCCATGCACAAGCACCAACTTTAAGAGGGCCCAGAAAAAGATCTACTCAATGGATTTCATCAAGACCAGTTCCCTGCGTGCTCTGATTGAGTTAACTTTCCAACGCAACTGGAACGGCCTAATTTGGATGAGTAGAAACGGAGTTATAACCAAAAGAGTGGAGACTGTCCAGACGGCTCTATCGAGAATCAGCGCCAACCGCGCAGTCCGGCTGGCCGAGAAACTATTGTTTCGCGCTCGGCCAAAGTCATATCCGTCCGTCTGAAGTCTCGGCCAAAGTTGAAACCGACCGGCCGATCACGCAACACGACCCGGGAAACATTGTGCTCCACGCCGCGACGCGCACGACCATGCCGCGCGAGCCGGGGAACAAGGCCTCGCGGCCGCGCAACCCGTTTCGCGTACCACGGCCGATGCATCCGTCCGAGCCGGGAAAGAACGTCCCACGTCCGGCCGAGAAACCATCGGCCAAATCTTCGTCCGCCGACCAGCGGCCGACCGTGAATCCATCCGGCCCCGACCGTTCCGACTCGGCCACGACCCGACTGTCCGGCCGATCGTCCCGCACGACCGTCCCAACGCCGCGGTCGACCCGAAGCCCTTTTTGAAGCCCAATTTCATATTTTCAAGCCCGGCTTAACCCTAAGCCGCCTCTAGAAGACCTAGCACTATATATATAGATTTTTAGCCTCTTGTGAAAAGAGAGCCGAGCCGCCTTGTATTACAATTTCATACTTTGAGTTTTATTGCAATCATGTTTTCTTCATCTCTTTGTGTTTTGCTTTGATTATGTCTGAGTAATTCACTAGTTAGGTTGTGAGATCTATCAAAGAGTTCATGGTTTGATAGGTTGTTAGAAGTCACATAGGGTTTATCATATCGCATCTTCGCCTCTGCTTGAATTCATTGCTGCTTGCTTTTCTGATCAACTAGCATCAGATCTTAGGTTTCATATACTCTCCAAAAGCTTGCTATATAACCTGAACTAAGTATTTGGTGAGCAAAACTTCATAGACTGCGAAAGTTGATCTATGCGGGGTTGTGAACAATTGGGTCTTGAACGAACTATTGCTTGATTTAATCACCTAGGGACATACCAAAAGTTTAGCGACTAGGTAGATTAACAAAGGGGTCGGAGCCTCGACAGTGGAAAGATCATACAATCGTGACCTGAGTTCTAGATAGCGCAAACCCTAGCCAATCCTTCTAATATCTTGTTCACCTTGAATCTCTGCGAGTTTCTCACTGCCTAGCGTTTCCCTTTATTGATTTTCATAAACCATTTTAGTTGTTACTTGATTTCGTTGCTACACAATCAAAACCCTAAATCATACTTGTTTTCTAGCTACATTAGACTTGCATAATTCGAAGTGTACTTATCTGCTCCTTGTGTTCGATACCCGTTTACTACTTTTGATCTGTGCACTTGCAGAATCAGGGATAGGAAAAGGGAAAGACCTGATCCTGCGATCACATGTCGACAGTTCCTTACTTGATTTTCAATAAGATTTGTCCAATCTTTAAAGAGTTCACCTCTCTCTCCCATCCCAAATGGTAAGTAATGTTTATGGAAAAAGCTCAAAGAGCACAAGGAAAACAAGTAAGCATGAGGAATGCATATGTCTGTACCTTCATGTCTTATGGAATACCTTAATCAAACAAGGAACAAGCTAAAGACTTATATGTGGTTGAAAGAAGGGTCAATAGAAAAAATAAAATGATACCCTAGAAAAGTAGGGAGAAATTGACCTTTCAAAGTTCTGATGTGAGAAAGAGAGAGGAAAAGAACTCATTGCACTTAAAGAGGCAATCTTGGAGAGGATCAAGTGGGTAAGAACAAGTTCAATTGATCGATGTCCCCTTGATAAAGAATTCACGCTTTAAATTTATGCAAGAGGTTAGCAATAGAGAGTTTGGATTGCTGGATGAGACTAGTTGGGTTGGTATTGTTCGCTAAACTTGCAGGGTGTATGTGAAGCTAACCTTATGTTGTCTATGTTCATAGTGGAATACAGGAAAGGAACCTTTCACAGGATATTCAAAAGAGCAAGGGAGTTTCCACGTTTTCAAACCTCTTTCACGGATTAGATTCTTTTTGCTTGAGGACAAGCAAAGATCTAAGTCTGGGGGAGTTGATATACCTCTAATTTACCCACTTTTTATACTGTTTTAGCATTGTTTTCTAATGGTTTTTGGCAGGTTTTCTATCTAAAAAGGTAGTTTTACTGTGTTTATAGTGTCTAGAGTCTAAACAGGTGAAATGATGCATTTTGGAGCAAAACCATAGGATTTGCACTTCAAGCCGCTCCATGCACAAGCACCAACTTTAAGAGGGCCCAGAAAAAGATCTACTCAATGGATTTCATCAAGACCAGTTCCCTGCGTGCTCTGATTGAGTTAACTTTCCAACGCAACTGGAACGGCCTAATTTGGATGAGTAGAAAAGGAGTTATAACCAAAAGAGTGAAGACTGTCCAGACGGCTCTATCGAGAATCAGCGCCCAACCGCGCAGTCCGGCTGGCCGAGAAACTATTGTTTCGCGCTCGGCCAAAGTCATATCCGTCCGTCTGAAGTCTCGGCCAAAGTTGAAACCGACCGGCCGATCACGCAACACGACCCGGGAAACATTGTCCCGCGGTCGGCCAAGCTCCAAAGCTCCACGCCGCCGCGCACGACCATGCCGCGCGAGCCGGGGAACAAGGCCTCGCGGCCGCGCAACCCGTTTCGCGTACCACGGCCGATGCATCCGTCCGAGCCGGGAAAGAACGTCCCACGTCCGGCCGAGAAACCATCGGCCAAATCTTCGTCCGCCGACCAGCGGCCGACCGTGAATCCATCCGGCCCCGACCGTTCCGACTCGGCCACGACCCGACTGTCCGGCCGATCGTCCCGCACGACCGTCCCAACGCCGCGGTCGACCCGAAGCCCTTTTTGAAGCCCAATTTCATATTTTCAAGCCCGGCTTAACCCTAAGCCGCCTCTAGAAGACCTAGCACTATATATATAGATTTTTAGCCTCTTGTGAAAAGAGAGCCGCCTTGTATTACAATTTCATACTTTGAGTTTTATTGCAATCATGTTTTCTTCATCTCTTTGTGTTTTGCTTTGATTATGTCTGAGTAATTCACTAGTTAGGTTGTGAGATCTATCAAAGAGTTCATGGTTTGATAGGTTGTTAGAAGTCACATAGGGTTTATCATATCGCATCTTCGCCTCTGCTTGAATTCATTGCTGCTTGCTTTTCTGATCAACTAGCATCAGATCTTAGGTTTCATATACTCTCCAAAAGCTTGCTATATAACCTGAACTAAGTATTTGGTGAGCAAAACTTCATAGACTGCGAAAGTTGATCTATGCGGGGTTGTGAACAATTGGGTCTTGAACGAACTATTGCTTGATTTAATCGCCTAGGGACATACCAAAAGTTTAGCGACTAGGTAGATTAACAAAGGGGTCGGAGCCTCGACAGTGGAAAGATCATACAATCGTGACCTGAGTTCTAGATAGCGCAAACCCTAGCAATCCTTCTAATATCTTGTTCACCTTGAATCTCTGCGAGTTTCTCACTGCCTAGCGTTTCCCTTTATTGATTTTCATAAACCATTTTAGTTGTTACTTGATTTCGTTGCTACACAATCAAAACCCTAAATCATACTTGTTTTCTAGCTACATTAGACTTGCATAATTCGAAGTGTACTTATCTGCTCCTTGTGTTCGATACCCGTTTACTACTTTTGATCTGTGCACTTGCAGAATCAGGGATAGGAAAAGGGAAAGACCTGATCCCGCGATCACATGTCGACAGTTCCTTACTTGATTTTCAATAAGATTTGTCCAATCTTTAAAGAGTTCACCTCTCTCTCCCATCCCAAATGGTAAGTAATGTTTATGGAAAAAGCTCAAAGAGCACAAGGAAAACAAGTAAGCATGAGGAATGCATATGTCTGTACCTTCATGTCTTATGGAATACCTTAGTCAAACAAGGAACAAGCTAAAGACTTATCCTGTGGTTGAAAGAAGGGTCAATAGAAAAAATAAAATGATACCCTAGAAAAGTAGGGAGAAATTGACCTTTCAAAGTTCTGATGTGAGAAAGAGAGAGGAAAAGAACTCATTGCACTTAAAGAGGCAATCTTGGAGAGGATCAAGTGGGTAAGAACAAGTTCAATTGATCGATGTCCCCTTGATAAAGAATTCACGCTTTAAATTTATGCAAGAGGTTAGCAATAGAGAGTTTGGATTGCTGGATGAGACTAGTTGGGTTGGTATTGTTCGCTAAACTTGCAGGGTGTATGTGAAGCTAACCTTATGTTGTCTATGTTCATAGTGGAATACAGGAAAGGAACCTTTCACAGGATATTCAAAAGAGCAAGGGAGTTTCCACGTTTTCAAACCTCTTTCACGGATTTAGATTCTTTTTGCTTGAGGACAAGCAAAGATCTAAGTCTGGGGGAGTTGATATACCTCTAATTTACCCACTTTTTATACTGTTTTAGCATTGTTTTCTAATGGTTTTTGGCAGGTTTTCTATCTAAAAAGGTAGTTTTACTGTGTTTATAGTGTCTAGAGTCTAAACAGGTGAAATGATGCATTTTGGAGCAAAACCATAGGATTTGCACTTCAAGCCGCTCCATGCACAAGCACCAACTTTAAGAGGGCCCAGAAAAAGATCTACTCAATGGATTTCATCAAGACCAGTTCCCTGCGTGCTCTGATTGAGTTAACTTTCCAACGCAACTGGAACGGCCTAATTTGGATGAGTAGAAAAGGAGTTATAACCAAAAGAGTGAAGACTGTCCAGACGGCTCTATCGAGAATCAGCGCCCAACCGCGCAGTCCGGCTGGCCGAGGAACGATGTTCCGCGCTCGGCCAAATCATATCCGTCCGTCTGAAGTCTCGGCCAAAGTTCCAAAACCGGCCGATCACGCATCACGACCCGGGAAATGTCCCGCGGTCGGCCAAGCCACACACGTCACGCCACGCCGCGCACGACCATGCCGCGCGAGCCGGGAACAAGCCTCGCGGCCGCGCAACCGTTCGTACCACGGCCGATGCATCCGTCCGAGCCGGGAAACGTCCCACGTCCGGCCGAGAAAATCGGCCAAATCTCATCCGCCGACCACGCCGGCCGACCGCATCCATCCGGCCACGACCGTTCCGACTCGGCCCATGACCCGACTGTCCGGCCGATCGTCCCGACCGACCGTCCCAACGCCGCGGTCGACCCGAAGCCCTTTTGAAGCCCAAACTTATGTTTTCAAGCCCGGCTTAACCCTAAGCCGCCTCTAAAGACCTAGCACTATATATATGGATTTTTAGCCTCTTGTGAAAAGAGAGCCGCCTTGTATTTCGATTTCCTACTCTAAGTTTTATTGCAATCATGTTTTCTTCATCTCTATGTGTGTTTGCTTTGATCATGTCTGAGTAATCCACTAGTTAGGTTGCTAGGGTTACTATTCAATGAGTTGCTTGCATGATCTTTGATTTCAATGATTAGCTAGGGATTATATTAGAGTCTTTGTCTCGTCTTGTGCACTTAACTAATGCTGATTGCTTTACCGCGCATCTAGTAATCCGATCTTAGGTTGATTTGAGCCTCGACAGTGCTGTATCATTCGCCGGACATATTCTTTGACAAGCTAGGTTTCTTAGACTGCGAAAGTTGATCTATCTATATCTAGTGAACTGTATCAGAACCTATTCATTCTAAAGCTTGATTTAATCACCTAGGGACATACCAAAAGTTTAGCGACTAGGTAGATTAACAAAGGAGCCGGAGCCTCGAAAGTGGAATGGTTTTATATTCGTGATCTGTGTTCTAGATGGTTCTTAATATCCCAATATCCCTAATCAATTAATCTATCATTGTTTCATTGATCATTGCTTGCTTCTCTGCGATAGCCCCTATGACCTAGCGCTTTTCCTTTATTGTTTACAACCTCGTTATACTTGCTAGTTCGGTTCACCATTACAACCTCAATCATACTTTTGTTTTAGCTTGATCCAAAATCCATAGTTCAAAGTGTACTCAATAGCCAGTCCTTGTGTTCGATACCCATACTTCCGCGATCTGTGCACTTGCAGAGGTCTAGGAGTTTGGTAAAACCTGACTCCACATCATGCACCTAGGCGCCTTATTGCATATAGAAAACAAGTATTAGATACTTGTCTAGGTTTGCATGGGCATTGCATATAGATTGCTTGTTTGTATGTTGTTATAGTCTTGGATTGATCGTACATGTTCTTGTTTGATTGGGGTACGGTTAGTCTTAAGGCTATAGCATCATTATTGTGTGTAATTGCATATGTTATGCAGGTTTTGTACTAACCTCAATGCAGGTGAAGGCGGGGCTCTTATCCCGCGGCGTTTGTGTTTGGAGTTTAGGGAATCCCCCTTGTATAGAGGTCCTAGACTCACTGAGTAATATTAGATTACTCATTCCTTTTGTTTAATGTTTTCAGGTGACCGTAGAGGTGTGAAGTAGAGCGGACCGCTGCAGGCAGTAGGCGCCAGAATAGTTTTGTGGTATGTTTTTGTAAAATTATGGTTTGTTGTTTGGTTTGGAACTAAGGATCGATCCGCATGTTTTTAAGTCGGATTTTGTAAGCACTCTGATATTTTAATAAAGGAAAGTTTTATGTAAAGACCTTATGTTCCAATGATATTAGCTTGGTCCGGGCTAACACAACTCCTGACCAGAGTACGGGTTGGCAAGCCTTAGGCTTTGGTCAAGAGGGTCGAGTTCGTGGAACGGGCTGACCTGGGCTCTGATTTGTTCTTAGTCTGGGATGGCCTATTCGGCGAACATCGACATTTTGTGGCGCTTCTCGGAACGTTTGTGCCTAGGACGGTTCGGGGGTGTTACAGAAAGAGTCTCTCCGGTGCAATGTGGCGAACTACACGAACTAGGCGTGAGATGAAGCGAGATTGGCATTCCACAATCTTCTCCAGCTTGCTCACTGATATACCTCTATTTTACCTACTTTTTATACTGTTTTAGCATTGTTTTCTAATGGTTTTTGGCAGGTTTTCTATCTAAAAAGGTAGTTTTACTGTGTTTATAGTGTCTAGAGTCTAAACAGGTGAAATGATGCATTTTGGAGCAAAACCATAGGATTTGCACTTCAAGCCGCTCCATGCACAAGCACCAACTTTAAGAGGGCCCAGAAAAAGATCTACTCAATGGATTTCATCAAGACCAGTTCCCTGCGTGCTCTGATTGAGTTAACTTTCCAACGCAACTGGAACGGCCTAATTTGGATGAGTAGAAAGGAGTTATAACCAAAAGAGTGGAGACTGTCCAGACGGCTCTATCGAGAATCAGCGCCCAACCGCGCAGTCCGGCTGGCCGAGAAACTATTGTTTCACGCTCGGCCAAATCTCGTCCGTCCGTCTGAAGTCTCGGCCAAAGTCCAAACCGTTCGGCCGACCGCAATCACGACCCGGGAAACTTAAGCCCGCGGTCGGCCACGCCACAACCTCACGCCACAGCCGCGCACGACCATGCGCGCGAGCCGGGAAGCAACGCCTCGCGGCCGCGCAACTGTCTCGCGTACCACGCCGACGCTCCGTCCGACCCGGGAACTACGTCCCGCGTCCGGCCGAGAGATTTCATCGGCCAAGTCTTCATCCGTCCGACCAGCGGCCGACCACGCATCCGTCCGGCCCCGACCGTCGATCCGACACGGCCACGACCCGATTCCGGCCGATCGTCCCGACCGACCGTCCCAACGCCGCGGTCGACCCGAAGCCCGTTTTGAAGCCCGATTTCATATTTTCAAGGCCCGGCTTAACCCTAAGCCGCCTCAAAAGACCTAGCACTATATATATAGCTTTTTAGCCTCTTGTGAAAAGAGAGCCGCCTTGTATTCGATTTCATACTTTGAGTTTTATTGCAATCATGTTTTCTTCATCTCTTTGTGTTGTTGCTTTGATTATGTCTGAGTAATTCACTAGTTAGGTTGTGAGATCTATCAAAGAGTTCATGGTTTGATAGGTTGTTAGAAATCGCATAGGGTTTATATATCGCATCTTCGCCTCTGCTTGAATTCATTGCTGCTTGCTTTTCTGATCAACTAGCATCAGATCTTAGGTTTCATATACTCTCCAAAAGCTTGCTATATAACCTGAACTAAGTATTTGGTGAGCAAAACTTCATAGACTGCGAAAGTTGATCTATGCGGGGTTGTGAACAATTGGGTCTTGAACGAACTATTGCTTGATTTAATCACCTAGGGACATACCAAAAGTTTAGCGACTAGGTAGATTAACAAAGGGGTCGGAGCCTCGACAGTGGAAAGATCATACAATCGTGACCTGAGTTCTAGATAGCGCAAACCCTAGCGAACCCTTCTAATATCTTGTTAACCTTGAATCTCTGCGAGTTTCTCATTGCCTAGCGTTTCCCTTTATTGATTTTCATAAACCGTTTAATCTGCTGTTTGATTTACTTTGTTACACAATCGAAAACCCTAAATCATACTTGTTTTCTAGCTATATTAGACTTGCAATACTCGAAGTGTACTTATCTGCTCCTTGTGTTCGATACCCGTTTACTACTTCTGACCTGTGCACTTGCAGAATCAGGGATAGGAAAAGGGAAGACCTGATCCCGCGATCAAGTTTTTGGCGCCGTTGCCGGGGAGCAATACAGCTACCTTCGAGTTCCCAACTATAGTCTAGCCTAGAATTTCGTTTTTCCTTTTTGTTTTTGCAAACTTTCAACTTTTGTTTTTCCTTTTTACTGTTTTCTATTTAAAGAATCTTGCCTCTACCCTTTCAGGTACTAACTTGAAAGAAGGACTCTAACATGAGTGATTCAGACGACAAGAGGATAGAGAGAACTTGGCCGCGAGAGAGATCGCGCTGGCCGAGCAGCACGAAGATCCGCCGGATCCAACGCCGCGCACAATCGCGCCAATGATGGAGCGCGACACAATGAAGAAGTCATGGGAGACTTCGATTCCAATCCAACACTACTAATCGATCGGAATCCCATCCAGCCGCCACTTCCTGAAGGAAGAAGCTATGAGATTTCACCGGAGATCATTGGTTTGGTGAAACAAAACCAGTTCCAAGGGAAACCCAGGAGAATCCTTTGGAACATATTGATGCTTTTGAAGAAATTGTGGCACCATCAGTGCAGGAGGTGCGCCCAAAGAGTACTTAAAGTGCAAACTATTCTCTTTCACTTTGACAGGGAAGGCTTTGCGCTGGGTTAAGTCTCTTCCAGCTCAATCCATAACCACATGGAAAGAGTACAAGGTGGCATTCCTAGGTCACTTTTTCACAAAGCAAAGAGCAAACTTGTTGAGAGAAAAGATCTCTAGTTTCCAACAAGGGCCGGTGGAGCCTTTTCATGAAGCATTGGAGCGCTTCAAGGACTATACAAGAGAGTGTCCTAACCATGGGCTATCTGAGGGCAGTCTATGGAACATTTTCTACAGAGGAATAAGTGGGAAGTGTAGATTTTCTCTTGATACAGCCAGCAATGGAAATTTCATGACCAAGACAGTTACTGAAGCAAAGATTTTGATTGAAAATCTAGCCTCAAGCGACAGTGACAACTTCATTCATGAGAGAGCAGTGAAGGCCATAAATTCTGATCCATACAGAGATGGATACAGCGAAATCAAAGCCATGATGGCTGAGATACTGAGAAACCAAGGAAGAGAAGTGGAGAGACAAAGAGAAGCTTATAGAGTTGAATCCACAATAATTCAAGATTACTTTGGAGATTTGATTCCAAGTTTCCAAGAAGAAGTAAACTTTGTTGGAATAGATGGATCAGCACATAGAGAAGAAGCTTGGAAAGGGAGAGCATGATGTTTTTACTCAAGAATCACCCAATGAGAAGAGGGATGTTCATAGAGGAAGAAATTATCAGCAACCACCTCACAAGAGAAGAATGGAGCCAAGGAGCAATTTTGAAGATTTGATAACTTTCATCAAGAGTTCTCATAGAGAGCATACAGCCTTGATTGATGAGAGATTGGAGTCAGCCTTCACTAGATTGAATGAGAAGTTGGATTCTATTTCTTCTTTCACAAGAGACTTGGATCTTAGAGTTGCCAACATAGCCAGCTCTATTAAGAGAGAAGAAGGTGTGCTACCAGGAAAAGTGGAAATCAATCCAAGGAGAGCAGCTGTAGCAGCTATCACTCTTAGGAATGGAAAAGGGTATGAACCACCAGCATACCCAGATCAAGAGGAAGCAAAGCCGCCAGTCAAGAAGAAACCAATGGAGTATGTTATCATTGGAGATGGGACTGAACCACCTAAGGAAGTCCATGTCAGAATAGAACCAGGAACTCAGGAGGAAGTGGAGAAGCCACCTGAAGAACCAAGAGTGTATGAGCCAAAGATCCCATACAGAAATGTTCTTTCTCAACCCAAGAAGGAGAAGGAGCAAGCAAAGCTCAAGGATCTTGTTAGCCAACTTTCAGTAAGGTTACCTTTCATTGATGCTTGCCAAATAATTCCATCTCTCAGGAAGTATATGAAGGCCATACTCACAAGCAATGTGAGTCTTGAAGAAGGAGCAATGATGATTACAAAGGAGTGTAGTGCCATACTTCAGAATCGCATGCCAGAGAAGCTGAACGACCCAGGGAGTTTTGTTTTGTCTTGCAAGATCGGTTCTACACACTTCCATAGAGCACTTTGTGATTTGGGTTCTAGTGTGAACCTAATGCCTTACTCAGTGGCCAAGCTATTGGGCATCACTGACTTCAAACCTACAAAGATCTCTCTAGTCTTTGCAGACAGATCTGTTCGCCGCCCTGTTGGTGTTATTATGGATGTTCCCATCTGATGAAAGGTTTTTTGCGTGTGTAAGTGGAAAGATATGAAATGAGATGAGTGGAATGCAATCAGTGGTATATGATGGTGGTAAGATGCAAACACAAACACAGTCAACAATTCCCTTTAACCATGATAGTTGTAGTATAAAGGGTTATCAATCCAAAATGGGAAACTTGTCACTCTATGAGAATATGAAACAACCAGGAAGTCAAGCAAGCAGTTATAGATTTGAAGTAACACTAACAACCTAAAAATGAAATGCAGTGCAATAAAAGTAAACAAAGCAGTGAAGTCAGCTCGACCAAGGACTCGAGTCGAGTGGAACAGAGTACCAGCTCGATCGAGTTTAGGGTCGAGTTGAGACAAAAAGCTAAAGGTGACGACTTTAACAAGATAAGAGAGAATTAGGGTTCAAGACAGGGTTTTGCAATCAAAGGAATCTACACTTAATCAATCTAGCTCTTAAAACTCCTTGTATCAAGGCTTCTCTTGATATTGGGCTTCTCAATGCCTAGCCAACCCTTTCCCAAGGTGGAGGCTATCAACCAAGGAATGATCTCAGAAACAGGGGGTTAGCCAGTGAGAATCAAACCTTGGAGGCTATAGGATCATTGCCCAAACTAATCCATCCAACCCCTTAGACCTCTATTGTCTAGAGCAAGAGATATTGGAGCTCTTAGTGGATCTTTTCCAGCGAATGCCATCACTTCGTGTGGGGAGTCGCCTAAGGACTTACAAGCCAGGGGTAGTGGTCATGTAGCCTTAAGATCTATCCAAAAGAGAGAGAATCTAGATTAAGACCATAAGCTAGAAGGATTAAGCATATGAAACCTCTAATCTATCCCATCTCAAACCCTAATGGGTAACTACTCACTACACATGAATGTAAACACAAGCAAATGCAATAAAAGAGACATCATAAGAAAGAGGAGATGAAATTAAACAACTTTTATTGAAATAAGCAAGTGCAAATACAAAGAGAGATTAATCCAGGATCTAAGATTCAAGAAGCAAGAGCTTCAAGAACACAAAGATGGGATTAGTTCTAAAAAGTAAAAGACAATAAAAAAAGCTAAAACAAAATAATCTAAAGCTTGGTGGTTTTTTCGTGGCTTAGAGCCTTTAAATACAAAGAGGATTAGGTTTAGGGTCAAAGGAAAGTCAAGGGGGAAGCAACATTTTTCGGGTTTGACTTTGACTTCTCAGCTCGATCGAGTTGAAGCTTGGCCGGTCGAGTTGAGGAACTCGACCGGTTGGTCGAGTAGACGGTCGAGCTGGTCTTCAAGATGGCTTCTCCCTTCTTCCTTTGCGTATCCAGTTGAGCTGCTTCCATGTGCCAAGTCCCTCCATGCTCCTCATGTCCCATATGCTCCAGAATGCTCCAAAAGACCTATTTCAAAGGACCAAACATGCATATGTATGCAAATGCAACCTAAAACTAACATGAATGCATAAGAAGAGAAAAGGAACAAGATATGATGCAAATGGAAGCTAAAACTATGCAAAAGATGCATAAAAGATGTGCTAAAACTATGTAAAATGCAAGTACATCAACACCCCCAAACTTGAACTTTGCTTGCCCTCAAGCAAACAAATAGAACAAGAAAGAGATGAGGTTTGAAAATAAGCTGATTCAACACTTAAAAACATGTCCTCAAAAGCGATTTGCTAAATGTCCAACTTAGAGATTCTAGAATGCAACAAGGTGAGAGATATTCATTAAGATTTAACCATGCTTATCAACATCAATCCCACTTCACAGTCACTCAAACAATGCATTCAAATCAGCAAATCCCTTTAACATTCATTAAGCAAAAACAGTGAACCAAAAACATGCAAGATCAATCAACTCATTTGGTTTCAAGGGTTTATGGGTTAAGAGACAAAGAGGGTCTCTTTTGTATGGTGGTTTAGTAACAGGGATCTCTCAAGAAAGTGGCTTTGCTTTGGCAGAAGGCTAAGTGTTAGAACCAAAGATGATGCAAGAACAGCAGCTCGAGCCGCCTAATCCTAACTCGATCGAGTTCAACACTTAGAGCTTTTTAGAACAAAATCCTAACTACCCTTTTTGGCATTTCGCCTTTGAAACTGAGGAGCTTTGCTCACTTTTCTTTTAAGAACTTCCTAGGGAGAGGCTTCTTGAGGTAACATCTAGCGGTTTGGGATTTTCTAAACACTTAGGGAACTTTTCTTTCCTTTTTGACACTTGAGGCTTTGCCTTCTTTTCATTCTACTTAGAACCCTTTTTACTTTCTTTTTTAACTTCCCAAACCTTTACTAGACCCTTTTTAAACACTGCCAACTCCCTGGACTAAACTCTTTTTCCTTTGGGTTTTTCCCAACTTTTACCACTTTTCTGGTTTTTGACACCCAACTCGATCGAGCTCGAGTTGGCACCCCCAAACTTAGCCTGAAAACAATCCCAAGAGAACTAGACAACTAGGACTACTATTTGTTTGCTTGAGGGCAAGCAAAGTTCAAGTTTGGGGGTGTTGATGTACTTGCATTTTACATAGTTTTAGCACATCTTTTATGCATCTTTTGCATAGTTTTAGCATCCATTTGCATCATATCTTGTTCCTTTTCTCTTCTTATGCATTCATGTTAGTTTTAGGTTGCATTTGCATACATATGCATGTTTGGTCCTTTGAAATAGGTCTTTTGGAGCATTCTGGAGCATATGGGACATAAGGAGCATGGAGGGACTTGGCACATGGAAGCAGCTCAACTGGATACGCAAAGGAAGAAGGGAGAAGCCATCTTGAAGACCAGCTCGACCGTCTACTCGACCAACCGGTCGAGTTCCTCAACTCGACCGGCCAAGCTTCAACTCGATCGAGCTGAGAAGTCAACAGTCAAACCCGAAAAATGTTGCTTCCCCCTTGACTTTCCTTTGACCCTAAACCTAATCCTCTTTGTATTTAAAGGCTCTAAGCCACGAAAAAACCACCAAGCTTTAGATTATTTTGTTTTAGTTTCTTTAATTTATTGTCTTTTACTTTTTAGAATCTAATCCCATCTTTGTGTTCTTGAAGCTCTTGCTTCTTGAATCTTAGATCCTGGATTAATCTCTTTGTATTTGCACTTGCTTATTTCAATAAAAGTTGTTTAATTTCATCTCCTCTTTCTTATGATGTCTCTTTTATTGCATTTGCTTGTGTTTACATTCATGTGTAGTGAGTAGTTACCCATTAGGGTTTGAGATGGGATAGATTAGAGGTTTCATATGCTTAATCCTTCTAGCTTATGGTCTTAATCTAGATTCTCTCTCTTTTGGATAGATCTTAAGGCTACATGACCACTACCCCTGGCTTGTAAGTCCTTAGGCGACTCCCCACACGAAAGTGATGGCATTCGCTGGAAAAGATCCACTAAGAGCTCCAATATCTCTTGCTCTAGACATAGAGGTCTAAGGGGTTGGATGGATTAGTTTGGGCAATGATCCTATAGCCTCCAAGGTTTGATTCTCACTGGCTAACCCCCTGTTTCTGAGATCATTCCTTGGTTGATAGCCTCACCTTGGGAAAGGGTTGGCTAGGCATTGAGAAGCCCAATATCAAGAGAAGCCTTGATACAAGGAGTTTTAAGAGCTAGATTGATTAAGTGTAGATTCCTTTGATTGCAAAACCCTGTCTTGAACCCTAATTCTCTCTTATCTTGTTAAAGTCGTCACCTTTACTGCTTTTTGCTCAACTCGACCCTAAACTCGATCGAGCTGGTACTCTGTCCCAACTCGACTCGAGTCTCTGGTCGAGCTACTTGCTCTACTGCTTTATTTTTTATTGCACTGCATTTCATTTCATTTAGGTTGTTAGTGTTACTTCAAATCTATAACTGCTTGCTTGACTTTCTGGTTGTTTCATATTCTCATAGAGTGACAAGTTTCCCATTTTGGATTGATAACCCTTTGTACTACTTCAACTATCATGGTTAAAGGGAATTGTTGACTGTGTTTGTGTTTGCATCTTACCACCTCATCATACCACTGATTGCATTCCACACATCTCATTTCATATCTTTTCACACACACACAAAACACCTACCATCACGTCAGTAGTTCAACCTCCAAACTGGGAACTACCTTTTGAGATAATGTGTGATGCAAGTGATTATGCAGTAGGAGCAGTACTTGGGCAAAGAAAAGACAAGAAGCTACATGTGATCTATTATGCCAGCAGAACGCTTGATGAGGCACAATGCAAGTATGCCACAACAGAAAAGGAGCTTCTAGCTATTGTCTTTGCATTTGAGAAATTTCGATCATACTTGGTGGGATCAAAGTTATAGTTCATTCTGATCATGCAGCATTAAGGTATCTTTTATCTAAGAAAGATGCCAAGCCAAGATTGTTGAGATGGATACTACTACTGCAAGAATTTGATCTTGAGATCAAAGATAGAAGAGGAGCAGATAATGGAGTAGCTGATCACCTTTCAAGGATGAGAGTTGAAGAAAATCTACCTCTTGATGATAGGCTACCTGAAGAAACAGTTTATGCAGCTGAAGCAGCAATAAGCATGGACAACTAAGCCATCACAGGCCAGGAACAAAGATCTCATCATCAAACACACCATGGTTTCGCCACATAGCAAACTTCCTTGCAGCTGAATACCCACCACCAAACTTCTTTGGCTACAGAAAGAAGAAGTTCTGCGTGATGTAAGAAGGTACTACTGGGATGAACCTTACTTATACAAGAAATGTTCAGATGGAATGTTTAGAAGATGCATACCTGAGGAAGAGGTAGAAGGAATATTGTTTGCTTGTCATAGTTCTAGCTATGCAGGGCACTTTGCCACTTACAAGACAGTATCCAAGGTCCTACAAGCTGGATTTTGGTGGCCAACAATGTTTAAGGATGCTCATGCATTCATATCAAGATGTGATGCTTGCCAAAGAATGGGAAATATAAGCAAGAGGAATGAGATGCCACAGAACTTTATACTAGAAGTTGAAGTTTTTGATGTTTGGGGCATTGACTTTATGGGACCCTTCCCAACCTCTTTTGGTGACCAATACATTCTAGTGGCAGTTGATTATGTCTCCAAATGGGTGGAAGCCATTGCCAGCCCTACTAATGACGCACAAGTGGTCATCAAGATGTTTAAATCCATCATTTTTCCAAGGTTTGGAGTGCCTAGGATAGTCATAAGTGATGGAGGTTCACATTTCATAAACAGAATCTTTGCCAACCTTTTGAAGAAGCATGGAGTCACTCACAAAGTTGCCTCTCCTTACCACCCCCAAACTAGTGGACAAGTTGAGATCTCAAACAGAGAACTCAAGAGCATACTTCAGAAGACAACAGGCAAGACAAGAAAGGATTGGAGTGCCAAACTAGATGATGCTCTATGGGCATACCGCACTGCCTTCAAAACACCACTTGGTACCACCCCCTTTCATCTTGTTTATGGTAAAGCATGTCATTTACCTGTGGAGCTGAGTACAAAGCAGCTTGGGCTATTAAGGAGTTGAACTTCAACCTAAAGACAGCAGGAGAAAGAAGATTGATTCAGCTGAATGAGCTTGATGAGATTAGGCATCTGGCTTATGAGAATTCAAAGATCTATAAGGAGAGAACCAAAGCTTTCCATGACCGCAAGATCATCCCAAAGAACTTTGCGCCAAACGACCAAGTTCTACTATTCAACTCAAGGTTGAAACTCTTTCCAGGAAAGCTTCGCTCAAGATGGTCAGGACCATTCAGGATTAAAGAAGTTCGCCCCTATGGAGCAGTGGTACTATGGGACCCAATGGGAGGAGACTTTACAGTCAATGGACAGAGGTTGAAACCTTACCTAGCTTCCACCACCATACCACAGGAGACCACACTGGCTCTTGGCGATCCACCAGATCCTTAAGGAAGTGCCATACAGTCAAGCTAATGACTCTAAACAAAGCGCTGAATGGGAGGCAACCCATTGAAGGTCATTTCTTTTCATTTTCTTTCTTTAATTTTCTTTTGTTTTGAATATTACCTCTCACCTTAATGTGATTTGCTTTCACCGGGACGGTGCAAGTTAAGTCTGGGGGGAGTTTTATTGTGTTACTAATGCATTTTTCCTTTCTTTTCTTATGTTTTAGTCATTTTGTTTCATGTTTTTCAAAAAGTTTTATTGAGTCAAAAACCAAGTCCGGAAGTTATGAACTTGCTTTGAGAATTGAGAGTGTTGTGCTAACAATCCATGACCCTAGAGCAGAAACCAGCTAAAGGCACAAGCCTAACAGAAGCTCTTACAGTGGATCGATGATGCGGAGTCAGGTTTTACCAAACTCCTAGACCTCTGCAAGTGCACAGATCGCGGAAGTATGGGTATCGAACACAAGGACTGGCTATTGAGTACACTTTGTAACTATGGATTTTGGATCAAGCTAAAACAAAAGTATGTTTGAGGTTGTAATGGTGAACCGAACTAGCAAGTATAACGAGGTTGTCAATAAAGGAAAAGCGCTAGGTCATAGGGGCTATCGCAGAGAAGCAAGCAATGATCAATGAAACAATGATAGATTAATTGATTAGGGATATTGGGATATTAAGAACCATCTAGAACACAGATCACGAATATAAAACCATTCCACTTTCGAGGCTCCGGCTCCTTTGCTAATCTACCTAGTCGCTAAACTTTTGGTATGTCCCTAGGTGATTAGATCAAGCATTAGAATGAATAGGTTCTGATACAGTTCACTAGATATAGATAGATCAACTTTCGCAGTCTAAGAAACCTAGCTTGTCAAAGAATATGTCCGGCGAATGATACAGCACTGTCGAGGCTCAAATCAACCTAAGATCGGATTACTAGATGCGCGGTAAAGCAATCAGCATTAGTTAAGTGCACAAGACGAGACAAAGACTCTAATATAATCCCTAGCTAATCATTGAAATCAAAGATCATGCAAGCAACTCATTGAATAGTAACCCTAGCAACCTAACTAGTGGATTACTCAGACATGATCAAAGCAAACACACATAGAGATGAAGAAAACATGATTGCAATAAAACTTAGAGTAGGAAATCGAAATACAAGGGCGGCTCTCTTTTCACAAGAGGCTAAAAATCCTATATATATAGTGCTAGGTCTTTCTAGAGGCGGCTTAGGGTTAAGCCGGGCTTGAAAACATAAGTTTGGGCTTCAAAAAGGGCTTCGGGTCGACCGCGGCGTTGGGACGGTCGGTCGGGACGATCGGCCGGACAGTCGGGTCGTGGCCGAGTCGGAACGGTCGGGCCGGATGGATTCACGGTCGGCCGGCGTGGTCGGCGGATGAGATTTGGCCGATTCTCGGCCGGACGTGGGACGTTCTTCCCGGCTCGGACGGATGCATCGGCCGTGGTACGCGGAACGGGTTGCGCGGCCGCGAGGCTTGTTCCCGGCTCGCGCGCATGGTCGTGCGCGTGGCGTGAGCGTTGGCTTGGCCGACCGCGGGACAATGTTTCCCGGGTCGTGTTGCGTGATCGGCCGGTCGGTTTGGAACTTTGGCCGAGACTTCAGACGGACGGATATGACTTTGGCCGAGCGCGAACATCGTTTCTCGGCCAGCCGGACTGCGCGGTTGGGCGCTGATTCTCGATAGAGCCGTCTGGACAGTCTTCACTCTTTTGGTTATAACTCCTTTTCTACTCATCCAAATTAGGCCGTTCCAGTTGCGTTGGAAAGTTAACTCAATCAGAGCACGCAGGGAACTGGTCTTGATGAAATCCATTGAGTAGATCTTTTTCTGGGCCCTCTTAAAGTTGGTGCTTGTGCATGGAGCGGCTTGAAGTGCAAATCCTATGGTTTTGCTCCAAAATGCATCATTTCACCTGTTTAGACTCTAGACACTATAAACACAGTAAAACTACCTTTTTAGATAGAAAACCTGCCAAAAACCATTAGAAAACAATGCTAAAACAGTATAAAAAGTGGGTAAATTAGAGGTATATCAACTCCCCCAGACTTAGATCTTTGCTTGTCCTCAAGCAAAAAGAATCTAAATCCGTGAAAGAGGTTTGAAAACGTGGAAGCTCCCTTGCTCTTTTGAATATCCTGTGAAAGGTTCCTTTCCTGTATTCCACTATGAACATAGACAACATAAGGTTAGCTTCACATACACCCTGCAAGTTTAGCGAACAATACCAACCCAACTAGTCTCATCCAGCAATCCAAACTCTCTATTGCTAACCTCTTGCATAAATTTAAAGCGTGAATTCTTTATCAAGGGGACATCGATCAATTGAACTTGTTCTTACCCACTTGATCCTCTCCAAGATTGCCTCTTTAAGTGCAATGAGTTCTTTTCCTCTCTCTTTCTCACATCAGAACTTTGAAAGGTCAATTTCTCCCTACTTTTCTAGGGTATCATTTTATTTTTTCTATTGACCCTTCTTTCAACCACAGGATAAGTCTTTAGCTTGTTCCTTGTTTGACTAAGGTATTCCATAAGACATGAAGGTACAGACATATGCATTCCTCATGCTTACTTGTTTCCTTGTGCTCTTTGAGCTTTTTCTCATAACATTACTTACCATTTGGGATGGGAGAGAGAGGAGAACTCTTTAAAGATTAGACAAATCTTATTGAAAATCAAGCAAGGAACTGTCGACATGTATGCCAACCCCCTTGACAAGAGTATTAAGATTGATTAAGGTGAGGTTAACTCTAGATTGCTTGGTTACCTTAGAAATTTTGCTGAGCTAGCATGTCGATCCACTGTAAGAGCTTCTGTTAGGCTTGTGCCTTTAGCTGGTTTCTGCTCTAGGGTCATGGATTGTTAGCATAACACTCTCAATTCTCAAAGCAAGTTCATAACTTCCGGACTGGTTTTTGACTCAATAAAACTTTTTGAAAAACATGAAACAAAGTGAATAAAACATAAGAAAAGAAAGAAAAATGCATTAGTAACACAATAAAACTCCCCCCAGACTTAACTTGCACCGTCCCGGTGAAAGCAAATCACATTAAGGTGAGAGGTAATATTCAAAGTAAAAGAAAAATAAAGAAAAATTCATTAAAATGAGATAGGGATAGAAAATGGAGATTTGTAAGTGTCCATTGCACTAAGTACCACTTGAGATGACTATGTGTGGCAGTGAGAAGAACTCTCTTCCTCATCTATGGGGTCATCGCCTTCTGAACCAAGCTCTGAGTCTAGTGAGAACTCACCAAGGTCAGGCTCATATGGCTCTCTAGCGGTGGAAGAAGGGCGAAAGAGTCTCTCCGGTGCAATGTGGCGAACTACACGGACTAGGCGTGAGATGAAGCGAGATTGGCATTCCACTATCTTCTCCAGCTTGTTAACACGGTCTAGAGCTTGGTGCGCAGCCATGCCAGTAGTGAGAACATGGCGTTCTTGGAGCGGCGTTGAGTCTTGACTGCATGCTGAAGTGTGCGATAGGTGAGCATGGGGAATGATGGTTTCTCACTTGATGGAACATAGAAGTCTTCCTCATTGGGCTGGAAAGTGACAACTCCTGAGCGTAGGCTTGGGATGTCTTCATGTGGCAGCAAGACAAGGGAAGTGTTGGCTGGACCAATTGGAAACTCATAGCAAAACCGAGTTGGGTCTTTAGTCCAACGGTTTAGGAAGTGGATGTGCTGAAGAGCATGGAGATCCAAAGGGGTTGGCTTGGGTAGTGGCTCATAGTTGGGAATGTCAATCCCCACATGCAGTACTATGGCCGTGATAAGCCTCCCAAAACGAACACAAAGCTTCTTGTTGCCTTCCAAGTCTTGAGCTAGCTTCCTCACATTGATGAATGTCTTGGCAAGTAAAAGTCCAAGGTTGGCCTTGTACTCATGCTTGATGAATGGTGTGGTGAGGATGTAGAACTCATCAGTTGTGACCTTGTTGGCTTCTTGTTTGCATTGGAAAGTGGTGGAGATGAGGCGGTGCACATAGCGAATGGCTGGATGGGTGATTCTAGACACCTTTGACCTTGAAGGCAAGAATGGTTCATTGGCAAAGTGTGTCCAATCAGCAAAGGCAGCTTGTTTCCTCTTTGAGTTCTCCTTGAAGTCATGTGCTGTCTCATTGGGAAGTCCAAAGAGTTGGCATAGAGCTGAGATGGAGATGCGCCCATTGGCATCGCCTATCTTGAAGAGTAGGAGTCCATCACCAGCTGGTTGGTCTCCATTGTGGTTGGGAAAGGCAAGAGCTACTGTGGAGAGGAACTCCTTGGTGAGTTGTGAGTACTCACTACATTCTAGCTTGAAGAGCTTGCTCAAGCCTAGCTTCCTTATGTACCATGTGACATCATCTCTTATCTTGAGAAGATCAAGGGTTTGGGTGTCCATCTTCACACAGGTTCGATGTTCACCTTCTCCATTGCCTTCTTGCACTTTCTTGGGTCTTGGATTTGTTCTCCAACAAAGTTACAAGTGCCCAATCATCTTCTCCTCTTCTTGGACTCTCCACATGTTCTTGACTTGCATCAATGGAATGTGGTGAAGTTGGTATTCTGCTCTTGCATTGGAGCTACTACTCCCTAGCTTGATTTGCTTCTTTGGTGGTTCCATGAATGGGTTCTTCTTCTTCTTCATACTCTCATTTCCTTTTGTCTTTGCCATTGGGTACCTACAAGAGCAAATTCTTGGGAAGAAATATGAGTTTGTGATTAATGCAAAAGAAGAATAAGCTAATTGAGTTGTAATAATGATATGGAATAAAGGAACAACTCAAGGCTTAATCATGAATCAAAGAGACAAAATAGAAATTTCACTTTTTCAAAGTTAATTTTCGGATTTTACTGTTCATCCCAAGATTATGGTGCTTAAAATCAAAATTTTCAGCAAATCAAGAGAAATTGAGTTTCTAATCCAAGTAATCACTAGATAAACTAATGAATTGAAGTATGCCTAAGCAATTTCACCTTTGAATAAGGGGTTTGGAATGCCCAATAAGTTTTGTGAAAAACTATTCAATTGTGAAATTAAACTTCAAATTAACTCTAAACCACCTAGGTTCCACCTAGCAAAGTTCATTACAAGACTATAAGGATGTAATTTCAAGTTTAGACAAGAGTTTAGACCAAACATGAAACTTATTGAATTTCGATCTTGCATAAACATAGGATTAGAGTTAGAAGACATACCTTGTGTGTTGAAAAGTGAATAAGGGTTGCAAGAGCAAGTAAATTCCAATTTAGAGTTATGAACAGTAAAAGTTTTGAAATCAAAACTCTTAGAGTTCCTCTAATGGAGTTTAGGGTTTTGGAGAAGAAAGAGAGGTTCTTGTGGTTTTCAAGGGAAAGGTAAAGTAAATAAGATCTAATCCTATCAATTTTCCTTTTCAAATTCGAATTTTGATTGAAAACCGGTTTAAGTTGGTTTAGATTGGTTAAAACCGGTTTGAATTAAATGAAAAGGGGACTTACCTTGGCCTAGAAAAGTTTTGGGCCGATGGCCGATGGATTTTGTCGCGGTCGAGCGATTTGGTCGGCCAAATTTGTTTTGGCCGAGAGATTTCGGCCGAGGCCGATCGTGTTTCCCGGATCGACCGTCCGATACGAAAATTTCGGCCGATCGCGGCCGTTTCTTCCCGGTTCGTGCGTGCCGCCGAACGGTTTCTGTCGCGCGAAGTAATCCGGCCGAGCACGCCATTCCTTCCCGGCTCGACCGTAACGGTCGGCCAGAATGAGAATTGCTCGGCCAAAATCTTTTGCGCGTCCGCGGCCAATGTTTTGGCGCGGATTGTGTTTTCACACCTTTTTCTCCTTCTATCCTATCTTAAAACAAAGAAAACACAAAAGCAAAACAAAAACTAAGAAAATTAAAGAAAGAAAAGTAAAAGTACCTCATGGGTTGCCTCCCATGCAGCGCTTGTTTTAAGTCTTTAGCTTGACTGTAAGGCTTGGCACTCAGGAGAAGATGGAGACAAGAGGCATCTTTGATCCTCCAAGTCTTTTCTCCTTGCAATGAGTATCTGGTGGGTGATTCACAGCTGGATAGACAATCTCTCCATGAATGTGATACCCCGTATCAAGACCTAAAACATCCCAAAGGCCGGGATGGGAAGATCAACACTCTGGGATTGGAAGACAAAGACGTGGGATCTAATACAGAGATCACAACGAAGACTTGGATCAAGACATGATCAAGAACGAACGAGCAGAAGTGAAGATACAGCAAGATTGTCCAGGTGGGACGATCATTGTACGAACATGGGAAGAGTCAACAGGACGACGAAATATCAAAGTTCTCCAAATCAAGAAGAGAAGAGTTTGGACGACATAAGAGACCATTCTAAGAAGTTTGGTCGAAGCAGAATGCAAATCGGACGAGCAGATTGAGAGATGGGACGAACGCCCAAGATCTATCCCGCAACGACTGCAAGAAACGTAAATGTTCGGGATGGAGGTATTCCGCACATTTCCAAGCAACTATGTGGAAGCTCAGAAACATGGAAATGAGAGAAGGATTAAAATAGGAGATTTTAATTCTCAAGCACGACGGGGACGAAACCCTCCGGACAGGGAAACGTACGAAACCCTCTGGACGAGGAAACGTACTTTTGGAGCAATCTTGTTCTAAGCCAATCAAGTGGTGACACCAGCTACTTAGGAGGATAAAGATGGTCTAAACCAGTAAGGAGGAGACACCAAGCTACTCAGATGGAGCCAAAACCGTTCAGCCAATCACGCAGTGACATTGAGCTGTTGGAATGGGACGAAATTGTGTTGGACCAATCGTGTGTCAACACCACCTAATGGGAGAGAGTGAGGCCGTGGATAAGCATTGTGATTGGATTATCTTATCCAGAAATGGACGAATCAAATGGAGATACCCAGCAGCTTCCAGAACGGACCAATCAGGTGTGAGCACTCAGCTGCTCGTAAGAAGACAGAAATGTGTTGGACCAATCATGTCTACACACTCACCAGCTTGAGGAAGGAGCCAATAGGAAGGAGACACTCATTCCATGAAGATAGGATCAAGGAGGAGATGCTCATCTTCAATGGACCAATCACGTTCAGCTACCCAGCAGCTTGGAGAATGGACCAATGGGAAGGTGCCATTCGATCCAAGTGGATGGGGATGGGAGAAGCAGCTGCAGGCGTGCCTCAACGCCATTGGTTGCATGCAGAGGAGAGGTGTCACGTTCTGAAGCCCTCAGACGCCACCTCGAGCTTCCCATAAACCTATATAAAGACCCCTTCAGCCTTCATTTCAACACACACCAAAACCTGAAAATCTAGAGAGATAAAGAAAGAGAGAGAAAGAGAACGCCCAAGAAGAGAAGAAGAAGAAGAAGAAGAAGAAGAAGGTGGAGAAGAAGAGCAAGAAGAAGAAGGTGCAGAAGAAGAAGAGAAGATCCAGAGGCGGATCGAGTTCGGGCTAGAGCGGGGTAGGCTAGGAACAGGGTCAGCCGGGTCGTCTAAAATCTGTGAGTTCCGGTAGCTAGGTTATAGTTTATTTCCTTCTATCGTTTCATAAGTATGTGGTATAACTCTCTAAACAATAATGTTTAGTAAAAATTGTGGAGAGTTATGCTGCAGAAATCTCTGTGAGGTTGTGACGGGTAATCTTCTAGAGAGAGAAGTTATGCCGTCAGATCTCTTGTGTTGTGAGGTTGTGTTAGGTAACCTTCGGGGAAGGTTATGCTGGCAGATCTCTTTTGTGTGTAAGATTGTGATGGGTAACCTTCGGGGAAGGTTATGCCGTCAGATCTTGTTTATGCAGGTGCATAGAGATGCATCGGTTGTGGGTTATAGCATGGCTATGCCGCTAAACCTCGAGTGCATGCTAACATGGTGGTGCGTAAGGCCCATATGTTGAGTATGACTCCGATGTGGAAAGATCACGGACGGCTGAGCCGCCAGATCTTTCGAGGTTCGTGTGGGTACTCTTCCGAGGCAAGGGAAGCTCTGCCGCAGAACCGAGGGTATGAGGCATAGTGGTGCGTAAAGGCCCATATGCTAAGTACTGAGAACATGTGGCGTGTCTAACCACATGTTGTTTAGGAAGGTGTAGTCAAGCGCATTCTCGCACGTCAGAGCCCAACCGGATTGGCAGCGTGGAGGCTGTGCATGAAGGGAGGAAGACTCGGAGGATAACCTGGTCAGCTGCCTTGGCCGAGTATGGTACCATATGACGATATGGGATCCAACCAGACATTGGCATGGTGCGCCAGTAAGGCCAATAGATGGGAGGATGAACCGGGTACCGCGATGGACTGTAGTGCCCGGGTGAAGGCGTTCATCTAGTTTCTGTGTGATTCCGGATGAGCGTGAACCTTCACAGGCGTGGGCTGAGAATGTGGCTTATGCACCTAGAGGCCTCACTGCATGTAGAAGTCAAGTATTCCGCTACTTGATTAGGGTTGCTTTGCATATAGATTGATTGTGTGCATTGCTTGATTGATTGATTGCTTGTTTGAGTGTTGTTATAGTCTTGGATTGATCGTACCTGTTCTTGTTTGATTGGGGTACGGTTAGTCTTAAGGCTATAGCAACAATATTGCATAATTGCTTTGTGTTGCAGGTGGCGGATGAGATCCCGCCTTTTTCTTTTGGGGTTTGGGTTTGGGGATAACCTTTGTATAGAGGGTCCTGAACTCACTGAGTAACATTAGGTTACTCATGATGATTATTTGTCTTACAGGTAACCCTTAGTAGAAGCCCGTGGACGGGAGGCAGAACAGCTGAAGACCGGAGTAGATTGGCTTGGCTTTTGTAAAACTCGATTTCAGGTTATTATATGCAATAGCTATGCTTTGGGCACTAGGCCTTGCCGGCAAAATAGTATAAAGTTTTGTAAGAACTTGTTTTGACAAGGTTATTATAAAAAGTTATCTTTTTACAAATCTGGCCTCTCGAATGATATTAGCTCTTGTCCAGAGCTAACACAACTCAAGACCGGAGGAGCAGGTTGCAAAGCCTTAACCGATGGTCGAGAGGGTCGTATTCATCGGATTAGCTGACTTGGGCTCTGATTTGTTCTTAGACCCAAGACGGCCTATCTTATGAACCTCGACACTTGTGGCATCTGCGGTTTAGTCTATTCATAGACCAAACCGGGGGTGTTACAATGAATGTCCCTTGGCACTACTGCCTTAGGAAAAAGCTTTAGAGTTCTTGTCACTTTCTCCTTGAATCCTTCTAGATTCTCATCAATAAGCTCCTTTGGGAATAGAAGCTTCATGTTGCGGCCAGACCTAGGTTTTCTAACCTTCTTCTTGGCTTGGCCTCATCTTCAATCTTGGTTGATCCCTTGGGCGGTTTTGGTGTAGGGGCCTTAGTCTTACTCCTTGCTTGTTTGGCAAGCTGCTTGGGCTTAGGAATGGGATCTTCCTTGATTGTTTCTTCAGTTTCTCCTTCTTGGGGTGGCTTCAAAGTAACTTTCTCCTCTTGGACCATGTCAACAAAAGAGTTCTTTGTTGAACACATAGGGAAGAACATACCCTTGTTCACCTTGTTGAAAGAGATTCTTTGATTGGGGAAATCAAATATGGCACCCACAGTAGACAGGAAAGGGGTTCCAAATATGAGAGGTCTATGGCTACTCTCTCTCATTTCCACAATCTGGAAATCAGTAGGGATAGAGCAATTTCCAATCTGCACCATCACATTAGGCACAAAGCCATAGGGGGTTTGTGAGAATGAATCAGCATAGTTGATGGAGATGGATGATGGCTCTATCTTGGTGAGGCCTATCTTGTCAGCTATCCTCTTAGACATGATGTTCACATTGGCTCCTGTGTCACACAAAGATTGCTCAAGAATGTTACCTTTGATGATACAAGGCACAACAAACTTTCCTGAGTTATCTGTCTTGGGGATAATCTTTGGGAAGAGTCTTCTCTTTCTAGCTCGATTGGACTCTCTCTCTGGGTAATTCTCTTCAGGCCAAATCATGCAATCAACAGTAGGTTTTGAAAGCATCCATTCTGGAACTTGGTCTTCAAATCTTTCTTCTATGGCGGCTGAGTTGCAAAAGGACTTCTTGGATTCAGCTTCCTGTCTCTTAACAGCTTCCATAGTTTGAGTGACTTGAGTCTCTAGTTTCTTCACATGAGTGGCAACAGCATCATACTTGGTGTTGAGATTGCTGAACAAAGTGTCCATCTTCTCATACATCTCTTTAGTGTTTCTCTTCTGGCCATCCATGATCTGTTGGAGGATTCCTTCAAATCTCCCACCTTGTTGGTTTGGAGGAGCTTGATTTGGTGAAGAAGCATATGGCTCCTTGGGCGGATATGATGATCTCTGCTCATATCCTTGCCTTGGCTGAAATTGACTTCCTTGAGATTGGTAAGGAGGTCTTTGTTGTTGTGGATACCTTGGAGGATACACTTGGTCTTGAGGATTCTCCACATTGGGGTTTCTATAAGACATGTTGGGGTTTGGGCGATAGCTTGGATTGTATCCCTTGTTCCCATAGTTTCCAATGTAGTTCACATCTTCTTCATTGGCTTCATTAGAGAATCTCCCATGCATTCTCTTGATGAATCTTCATTAGCATCACTCATCCCTTCTATTGCATTGATATGCTTGAGCTGTCCCTTAAGAACTTGAGCCATCATGTTCTTGAGTTCAGTCATTTGAAAAGAATCAGGGGAGCTAGTAGTGGTGCGGCTTGAGCGGTCATAATCAGGACAGTTGTTACAATCACTAGCTGCAAGATTCTCAATAAGAACCTTAGCTTCATCAACAGTCTTGGTCATGAAGTTTCCATTGCTTGCAGTGTCCAATGAAAGCTTGTACTTGTGGTCTATGCCACGATAGAAGATGTTCCATAGGTTTCCCTCATTGAAACCATGATTAGGGCAGTCCCTAATGTACTCCTTGAATCGATCTAGCGCCTCATAGAAAGACTCATTGTTGGCTTGGCGAAAGGTGGAGATCTTGTTCCTTACAGAAATTGATCTCTGTTTGGTGTAGAAGTGGTTGATGAATGCAGCCTTGTACTCATCCCAAGTGGTAATGGAGTGAGCTGGCAGAGACTTCAACCATCTTGAAGCTTTGTCGCCAAGAGAGAATGAAAAGAGCTTGCACTTAAGGTAGTCAGCAGAGACTCCATTGGATCTTGTAGTGCTGCAAATTTCTTCAAAGTTTTCTATGTGATCAAGAGGGTGCTCAGCTGGAAGGCCATTGAATTGGTTCTGTCTAACCAATGCTATGATCTGAGGCTTGATCTCATAGTCATTCCTTGCAGGAAGTGGTGGATGGATAGGGTTTCTATCCATGAAGAAAGCATCGGCAGAGTCATAGTCTCCGATTGTAGGTGCTCCGGCTTGGGGTTGTGCATTCACATCTCCAGCAGGGTCTTGTGGATTAGGAGGAGGAGGAGGTGGATCTCTTCCTTCTTCTTGAGCGCGCGCCACTTCAGCGGCGTGAGCGCGAGCTGCTTCGTCGGCCATCTCTTGGGCTTTTGCTTCCTAAGTTGCTTCTCAAGCTTGTCTATCTCTGGATGTTCAACTAGGTTGTCCTTGTTGGAGTTCCTAGTCATGCACCTGAAAAGAGTCTTGGAAACAAGTTAAATCAAAAGGGAAAAACAAAAACAAAAGCAAAAATCAAAGAAAAGAAATCAAAAACTAAAAATTCAAAAGCAAAAGAAAAGTAAAACAGGAAAAGGTTCTAGACTAGATCCTAGTCGAGTTCCAAAGGTACTGCTGCAGTCCCCGGCAACGGCGCCAAAAACTTGATGCGGAGTCAGGTTTTACCAAACTCCTAGACCTCTGCAAGTGCACAGATCGCGGAAGTATGGGTATCGAACACAAGGACTGGCTATTGAGTACACTTTGAAACTATGGATTTTGGATCAAGCTAAAACAAAAGTATGATTGAGGTTGTAATGGTGAACCGAACTAGCAAGTATAACGAGGTTGTAATCAATAAAGGAAAAGCGCTAGGTCATAGGGGCTATCGCAGAGAAGCAAGCAATGATCAATGAAACAATGATAGATTAATTGATTAGGGATATTGGGATATTAAGAACCATCTAGAACACAGATCACGAATATAAAACCATTCCACTTTCGAGGCTCCGGCTCCTTTGTTAATCTACCTAGTCGCTAAACTTTTGGTATGTCCCTAGGTGATTAGATCAAGCATTAGAATGAATAGGTTCTGATACAGTTCACTAGATATAGATAGATCAACTTTCGCAGTCTAAGAAACCTAGCTTGTCAAAGAATATGTCCGGCGAATGATACAGCACTGTCGAGGCTCAAATCAACCTAAGATCGGATTACTAGATGCGCGGTAAAGCAATCAGCATTAGTTAAGTGCACAAGACGAGACAAAGACTCTAATATAATCCCTAGCTAATCATTGAAATCAAAGATCATGCAAGCAACTCATTGAATAGTAACCCTAGCAACCTAACTAGTGGATTACTCAGACATGATCAAAGCAAACACACATAGAGATGAAGAAAACATGATTGCAATAAAACTTAGAGTAGGAAATCGAAATACAAGGCGGCTCTCTTTTCACAAGAGGCTAAAAATCTATATATATAGTGCTAGGTCTTTTAGAGGCGGCTTAGGGTTAAGCCGGGCTTGAAAATATAAGTTTGGGCTTCAAAAAGGGCTTCGGGTCGACCGCGGCATTGGGATGGTCGGTGGGACGATCGGCCGGACAGTCGGGACTTGGGCCGAGTCGGAACGGTCAGGGCCGGATGATTGCACGGTCGGCCGGCGTGTTCGGGCGGATTTAGATTTGGCCGAAGGTTTTCTCGGCCGGACGTGGGACGATCTTTCCCGGCTCGGACGGATGCATCG